CATTTCAAGAAAGTCTACAGCTGGGAAGCTTATAGCTGTGCATCCAAATACGCCTTTGCACGAACACTAAATAAATTGAATGAGATGTACCTCCAGAAGGACTTGAAGATTGTGAACTTTGATTTTACTTACATCAATGATGAGGCACTCTGGTCATCCAGCAATGGGGACTGTGTGGTACTTATGAAGATCTGCTTCTATGCATCAAACCTTTTGTGTCTGTCTCTGTGCCCTCTGCCAGGCTGACTGTTATTACATTCTCCAGATTTGGATATAATTTTGAATTAACATTTTAAGAAAGATAAATCAATATTCAGTACCATCAGGGTTTCTATTTTTCATAGCAATTACCATTTTTAACACAATAATTATCTCAAATATATAGTGTTGACAATATATATGTGCTTATTGATTTCCTTAACTATTTACTTCAGCATCATGAAATGCATAGTCAGTGCTGCTATCCTCTCTGGGAGTAATTAGTATAACATGACTTACTTTTATACTATTTGGTAGAATGGGTCTTACTTCTGAGTAGACATGTACATGGTTTCACTTAAAGGCTACATAAAAATGCAGGTTGGTTTTATACTAGCCAAACTTTCTTGGTTTCTCCCAAAGAATTGCTCGAATTGTAATGTGGCATGAGGGGGTCCTTTAAAGGTAAAAGGACCATCCTCGTTGTTACTGTGCATGTAATAAATTGCATTACAGCAGGGGCAGCAAACCCAAAGTTAGTCATTGTCCCATATTTGTATTTATTTATTAGAAAAGTTTCTTTTCTTCTACCTCTGGGTTCCGAACAACCTAAAACAGAGTTCTCCAACTTTCTACCTCGGAGAACCACTTGAAAGAAATGGACATGACCGAGACACATCAGTCACAAAATGATATTATAAGGCCCATACAAAATGGTGACCAACAAAGGTGGAGTTTGACATTATCAGCTGGCATTATCAGTAAAACGATTGCCAATAATCATTTTACATTGATAACAAATCGTTCTTTTCTGAAAACCTTGCCTCAGCTCTTTCATTTCAGCAGGATATGCCGTAATGTAGCTTGTTCACATGAAATACAGACAGTGGCTTTGAAGATAACGACTCCACCACCCCTTTGAGGGAAGAAATTGCTGATCTGGGCTCATAGCTGGGCTACTTATTCTAATAGTCCATTCAGTTTGCCTTCTGTGAAGCGAGAGTTTTGTGACTGGCGATGCCCACCACTGCAACCCTTGCATGAATGACCAAGCTCCTCTGTGGCAGTTATTTTAAGCAAGTGCCCATGTCATTGCGTCAAAGTTCCCATTGTGCCCTACCAAGCCCACAAAGTTCTGAATCTCTTTTAATAGAGAATTTTTAAAATACTGTTTTTCCTCTTCTTCCATATACCTTTCAATCTCATCTTACCTATCTCCTGGCTCTTCTTTTCCCCTCCTCCTTTCACAGTTAAGTGGTACCTCTCCCCAGCTGCCAGTTCCTCTAGTTTCTTGCTGCTTTTACATTCACTTCCTACTATAACAGTTTCCTTCTCTTATCCCATTCCTCTTTATTCTCAGTTTTTAAAGTGAGGTTTATTATTACTTTATCATTATTAACATTATTCATATTAGCTTTCTGCTCTAACCAACTCCTGGCACCACACGCACCTATGTAGCTTGATCCAAGAGGGCGGTCAAGTGAGGAAGCAGTAGGCATTCCAGAGCACTGAGACCCAGCCAAAGCTTGGCTGAGACCACTGGTGGTTCCAACTCCCAGTTCAGAAACATGGGATTAAAATGCAATGCACATGCCTGGTCAGGGGATTGATTATAGCAGGCGTAAATAATTTGAGACCCACCAAGTTGAACATAGCTGTCATCCCTAGATAATGTCTCATCAAAGCTGCTTGCTCTGCCTGCCTGGGACTGCAACAACGGGGTGGATATTCCATCTGGAAAATGCAAAGTCTAGCTGGTGAACAGTTCAGCGTAGCAGATTACAAGTTGCACATGCTTGGTCTGTAAAAGTAACAAATGTGCTGGGAATGGTTCATTTCTATTTGGACTACAACTAGTCAACCAGTTAGCCCTGAACACTAAACTTCTTATATAGTCATGTTTGAATTTTTTGATTATATGTTACAGAACATTTTTTCTGCAGTGAAACTGATCAATGAAATGTTATGGTTCAGTGATTAAATGCATGTAGTATTCATACTGGGCCTTCTCCTTTAAACTTCCACTTGCCACTGCACAGTTAATGAATGATGGAACTGTAAATGATCTTGTAAAAGTTGTATTCTTAACAAAATATGCCTGAAACTGAAAACCTTTGTCAGTATGGTATATTAGTCTGAGTCAAAATAAGGACATTTTCACACAATGCTCTGTAGCATACTTAAGCATTATATGCTATTTGTGTTCATGTGTGAATGTTTATCAATTCAGGCAGTCCCCAGGTTATGAATGAGTTCCATACTAGAGAAAATTGAAATCTGGCTTTAAGTAGAATTTGTATGCAAGTCCGATTGCATACAATTGGCCTTCCACATTTCCAGGGATTGGGTGCAGAACCCTCCCAAAAATGGAAAAACTATGGCTATCTCTCACCCCCCATTTCCCCATCTCCTTTTTGAACCAGTGAAATGTTGGGAGAACTTTCCCTCTCCGGATGGGCAGAGCAAAAGGGCATGCTTTGGAGGCTTCTCTCTCTCCTCTTTTGCCCCTCTCTCTGTAGTGGTGATGATTTTCTGCAGTGAATTTTTAAAATTAACACATTTTATGGCAGTTCATTTGCAAGTACGGGTTGTTCTTAACTTGGACATTTGTAACCCAGGGACTGCCTGGATTCAAGTGAATGTCCATTTCAAGCAACTTTTTACATGAACCCTCGCCACATTATGTTTGTTAGTCTTCATGATACCACAGGACTTACACCCTGCTACACAAAAAGAAAAAAAATACTGTGTCATACTTGAGATAGACCCTTATAACTGTCAATCTTATATTTAGATAGCATGAGGACATACTGATCAGTGAAACAGAAAGTCCTTTTATTAAGACTTTAAACAACATGAATTAAACAGCCAGTTGTAATTATTCCTTGCCATTCTTTTCTAAGCAATATACAGATATGCTGTTCCTGGGGGATTTCAATTTCCATTACTTCGGCCAGGCACCGGTTCAGGACAGCCACTGCCTCACCTGGATTAGATGTAAATGTTGAGTCCACAGCCCAAACCTCCAGATGACCTCTCCCTGTGGTTTCATGTAGCTGTTAAAGAGCATGGGTTTTTTTGGACCTCTCAGTGTCTTTTGATACCATTGACTACTGTACTCTCCTGGACAGGCTGAATTGGGATATGGGGGCACTGCATTGCAATAGTTCTGAACCTATTTAGAAGGTTGTTTCCAGGAGTAGTGCTGGGTTATTATTGCTTTGCGCCATAGCAATTGTGCTAAGGTCTTCCTTAGGGCTCTGTTATTCCCCATGCTTTTCACCATCTGTCTGAAAACACTGGGAGAGGTTATCTGGGGATGTGGGCTGAAGTGACACCACTTTGCAGATGACACCCAGTTCAGTGGCACATCTGTCAGTTGAATAGCAATCTGCACTCCTCTTAAAAGAGCAGGTTCATAGTTGGGGGTGCTCTTAGATCCAGCACTGCAGTGCTGGCTCTCTTCTAAGGGGATGGATTAGGAGGGGCATTGAATCACACACGTACACACCAGCCAGGAAGGCCTCATTCCCACCTCTTATGTCCTTTAACGAGTGCTATTGGGTGATTTAAAACTGCAAACAATATGTATGTAAATAAACTCCACATTTTGCAGAATTCCCCTACAAATACAATAAGAGAAGGAATATTAAGGAGTCAAAGCCCTCCAACCCTACACTTTACAAGGACGGAGCACACTCGGGAACCATGAAAAGTTTGATTGGAAAAGAAAGCCAGAGTTTGGGGGGAAACAATCTGCCACTGAAGAGGGATCAACGGTGCAGGCCACACAGGATCAGCCAGCCTCACGCTGAAAGGCTATTTTTTCATTTTGTGCAGGGTTTATTCCTAAAGCAGTGTCCCGTCCAGTCCCGTCTTTGTTGCTTCATTTTTCTAGATTTGCGTAGCAACGTGCAGCAAGGATACCCTTTTCTGTGACCTAAATTATTTTAAAGTACCTACTCTGCCTCCTGGCTCACTTCCATGGGAGATAACATATAGTAACTTCCAACACAACAGGAAAAAATATAGTAAACATTGATTCAATTATTCAAGCTACACCAGTCCTTTTCTTTCCCCAAGAGGGCTTGCCGGCTTTAAACGGTGACCCCTCCAGACGTCAATGAAATGCAACTCTATCATACCTTAGTATTGGCTATGCTGATGGGAATTGCAGTTCAACACATGCGGTGGGGGCGTGTCCAACCCTTGTACTAGTGCCCTGATTTTTGCCACTCCCCTTGTCTGGAAAGAGCAAAGCCAATGCCATGCTTGACTCTCCGCCTTTTCCCTGCTTCCCAAACCTACCCTCTTCCCCAATCCTCCGTCCCATGCTGGATCTATTTTCCACTTTACAGCTGTCAGTGTCTGAGCAGAAAACTTTTAGGTCGGCCCTGGACGCTATTTAAATATCTGTTTTCCAGACCATGACAGCTTCCCGTTGATCTCAATGGGAGGCTCAATTCGAGCGGTTCATCGTAGTTACGATTGGCGCTTGCATAAAAGAGAAAACTAGACGTTCGCGATCTTTCTAAGTCAGGTCTTACTTCGCGTGAGAAATGTTTGGTCGTGCGGTGCGCGCGCGAATACGTTGCTCGCTTTTAAACATGTAAAAAGTGCAGCGACAGGAAAAATTCTCGCGAAAATGAAAAAGCCGGTTAGGCTGTGTGTCACTCTACTAGTTTCTATCTCTATAGATTTTCCTCACCTCAGTCTTTATGGTGCGCGCGGATCGTCCATAGAACGCTGAGAACGAGTCTTACGTACTTCCGGTAGTGTCATGTGGCAGAAGCAGGAAGTGTTGTTGGAGACAGAGAAGGCGGGTCTTTAACCACCGCTGGCTTTAGAGGACTAGGTCGGGAAGAGACCTCCGCCAAGCCCAGCGTGCGGGGTAAGGAGGGGGAAATCGCTCTCGACACTGGGGGCGCTTGCCTGGGGAGAGCCCGCTGGGCTCGGGCAGTGCTTGTGGCCATCCCAATAATGTTTCCCCTGCTATCCTGGACATCCCACAGCCACGCCTTCATCTCACACTGTATATCAGCCTTCCGCGACCGGGAGCCTTCCAGATGAGTGGGACCATAGAGGCCCGGGGCCAGAATCCCGTTTCTGAGGGTGCAATTGTGTTCGTGTTTAGGCAGAAGAAAGTCCTACATCTGGTGGACTTTGTGGGTCCTTTTGCTGGGTCCTTTTGCTGTCTGAAAATGGACAGCAGTGCGTCCAAAATTTCTCACCGGAAAACAACATATGCACCCCTTTGCTTCTTCCTTCTTTAAGCATTGTCTCATTCAAACAAAAATCATAAACCGGAAATGAAACGCGATCTTTAAAAAAAGCAAAAATACATGACTGGCAATTTTTCAACAACCCGGTAAAATCACACTACAAGAATTCAGTACAAATAGTTGAGCTGTGTATGAACTTATTTGAACAGTCCTGTTATAATTGTGCCTTACCCCAGAAGGGATAGCAATCTAGTCCTCAGATGCTGCAGCTTTGATGCACCCATTTGTGCTTTAAGTTGCAGTTTTGTAACTTGAATAATAGAAACAACAATCCTGAATCCATTTGTCAGGGAGTAAGCCACACTGAAGTTAGTGGGACTTCTGAGTAGACATGTATAGAATCGGTTTGTAAATCATCTACAGCTGCCTTGTTATTTTTAAATCCTCTCTACAAATTTTAATCTTGCTCTTTCGTTTGCTTTGGTTTTATTTAGGTGGAACAAGTTTTCACGTTTAAAATGAACATGTAGTTCTGTGGCCATTATCTCCTTTATGATTATTTAACTTGGTAATCTGGATGTGTTTTATATACCAGGGGAATTATATAACTCTTTGTGAGTACAGTATATATGATGTTGTATTGGGCCTGTTTCAGCTGTCTAGTTACCATTTTTTAAATTATTGTTTATCTTTGATTTCAGCCAGATCATGAATTAAACCCTATTCAAAGTCCAGCATGAACAAGTACATGATATTCAGTATGCTATTCTGTTGTTATTTGCTGACATTTCAGATTTCTGCTTTGGATTTATTTATTTAAGATATTTATATGCTGTCCTGTCCTGTTATTTATGTGTTGTGAGCTGCCCCGAGGCTTTGTTGTGATGGGGCAGCATAGAAATGTTTTAAATAAATAATAAATAAATGAATAAATAAAAGCCTCAGGACGGCTTACATAAAATATAACATAAATAAATTCTCGATCCACACTGGCTGCAGTTAAAAACATAGAAAAGACAATATTTAATTTTTTTTTAAAAAAATGAAAATCCTTTACTGGTATTTCTGTAAGCATTTGGTATTTGCATAGTTATACTTTATGCTTAGGATTTATGCTTTCTTTGAATATTACATGTTGCAGTACTGAGAACTGAATCTGGCACACATAACTAATTCCTTTGCTTTTTCTAGTTAATCAAATTTTATTGTATTTTTTTCAGTGGGCTATTACATCTGACTTTGTAGAAAACTAGAGTGTCCTTGAGGAACTGAACAAATAGAATGTTTGCCTGCTGAGAAAATGTAATTGAATGTAGAGCTATTGAGCATTATCCATATTTTGCAGCACAGAGAAAATGACAGCAATCAAGCATGCCTTACAGAGAGATATTTTTACTCCAAATGATGAACGCTTATTAAGCATTGTTAATGTTTGCAAAGCAGGAAAAAAGAAGAGAAACTGCTTTTTGTGTGCAACAGGTATGCATGTTCTGGAAACATCTGCAAACATTTTCTCTAGTTCTACTGTCTGTGATGTACAATGGGAATTTAGAGTTATGCTTGTTTTATTTTAAACTTATGCAACTTTTCCTGTGTAGTGTAAGCAATTACCAGTAATCCTGGGGCTCCTATTCAACATCTAGAAATCCACTGGATTTTTCAGATTCACTGAAATGAAGAAGTTAAGAAAAAAGTGCCGGCTTTGGATCTGCTCTTGGATCTCTCTACATGTAGCTGGTGTGGAAAGAACAGCATGAGCTGCTTCTCTGAGGTTGTAGCAGTGAACTCCAAGAAGGGGTTTAGGTGGCATCCAAAGTGTTAGGAAGGAAGGAGACCAGCCCCTGAGGCATGAAGTATCCTGGCAGCACCTCAGCTTCTTTCCTCCTACTTCCCAAATTAAAACCAACTAGAGACACCTTGGGGAGACCCATATTTGAGGCATTCGTAGTGATGACATCCTTGCTACCTATATTATAAACCATTTTGAATATAGGTTGTGTTTCGATTTATTTCTTAGTGTTATATTTTCCTGTAAGTTAAGCAGGGGCAATTATCTGTTTTAGAGCTGATGGTTATCTTTATGTGCTGTACTCAACAGTGAGTTTAATTATGTGCTGTACTCAACAGTGACAACTGAACGCCCAGTGCAGGTGAATGTGGTAAAGGTGAAAAAATCTGATAAGGGCGATTTCTACAAGAGGCAGACTGCCTGGGTGCTTCGAGATCTTGCTGTTGTTGATGCCAAGGATGCTATCAAAGTATGTTGTAATTATAATCTGTACTGCAAATCGTCACTATGCAAAGTCACTGAATGCAACTTTAGTTTGACTGTATCTTCATGACTTGGGGATGTTTATTATCTGTGACCAGTGAACCTGTGTTCACTTACTGAAAGTCAGTCCTGAGACTTCTGAGTAAGATGCGCATATGATAAGCCTGCATATGGAACTTTTTCAGAGAATAGCCTCCTTTGGAGGGTGAATGCAGTGCTAGTCCAAAAGGGTTAGTTTCTTTTTCTTCCACTTACTAAACAAAAATGTTGATGTGATGTTAAACCAAACATTACTCAGAATTTTTCTCATGAATATTACAATGTTTGTATTTCTTATGAACAGTCTCTTTGAATTCCAGATAGACAAGTGTAATAATAAATCCTTTATTAATTTTTTATGGAAATATTAAACATTGGTGGAGATTGTGCCACTTCTGTGCTTTTGCAGGCAGCATCTGGCATGCTCTTGGTGCTTTATAACTAGCTAAATAGCCCATATTTCTATATAATATTTGGTGTTTAAAGTGTATTATATTAAAAGCATATTATGATTTGTACATGTTTTCCAGGAAAGTCCTGAGTTTGATCTACATTTTGACAAGGTATACAAATGGGTTGCTAGCAGTGTAGCAGAAAAGAACACCTTTATTTCATGTATTTGGAAACTTAATCAGCGGTATATCAGAAAGAAGATTGACTTCATAAATGTTAGTTCTCAGCTTCTGGAAGGTATAACTTTTAGGTTTCTTTTTTGTAATGCTACATTATATTTTAAATATTTATTCAACATGTAAAAGATTCGTATTGTTTATATTACCTTCATTCTTGCATCTAAAGTAAGTAAATGTTTCCTTTGGGGTTCTGGTATCTTTCATCCTGATCCTAAATTCATTACACAGAATGATTTCAATGGGTCTTACTTTCACATGATAGTTGTGATCCAAAACCATTGCTCTCTGCTTTTAATGAACTTTTAAAAGTCATAACCCAATTATCATCGAAGTGGAAATTCAAGGTGGGCTCCACTCTTTTTATTTTATTTTTTAAATTGTATTTAATACATGTATACCTGCTTATTCTTCACTGAGTTTGGGATGATTTAAGCTCCCTTCCCCACATTTTTTGGGTGGTTGAAGTAGTTAATACTAGGTGACTGGCCCAAAGTCATGTGGTGAACCAGGTTCGAATTTGATTGTATTTGTACTACACAATCCAAGATCACACTGTTTATACAAGATTTTAAAAATTATATTTTTCTTATATAAGCAAATCCATGTAGTAAATGTCATGGCATGTACAGTTGTCTATGAAACCATCCAAAACAGGCTTTTATCACCTTAGAAAAGTGGGGAATTCTTCCCCACAAATAACAGTTGGTTGGAATGATTCTTGCCAGTTTAGATAGCAGCAGGTTAGAAGTTATGAAGAAATGAACTATTAGAACAAAGACTTGTCTGTATTTCTTTGTGTGTATATATAGTCTTTGTGTATACTGTTTGCCCTACACCTGGAGAAGTGATGCTGGCAATTAGGTGAGCTCAGGCTGCTTGTGGCTTGAAAGATAATAATCAGTACAGTAAATCATGCCCTCAGGCAAGTGATAACCAGTGTAAGAGCTCATGTTCTATTGACATACATTAAACATTGCCTTATACAGAGTGATCATTGCTGCATCTTGCTTAGTACTTTCTGTACCAGGAATGAGTGGAAGGTAGATTGGGATCTACTGGTATAAATCAGCAAGGGCTTCTGATTCCCAGTAACTAAACAATAATAGGTGAAATTGACGGTTTATAGAAAATATCTGCATGGCTGATCTGGTGCCAAAATTGCTTATTTCTTGACCGTGTCACTTTTTACCATGTACAGTATGGATATTAATATGTTCCCCTTGACCAGACTTTTGTGCATTATGCTGGCCACTTTGATTCTTTGCGTTAGCATCCTTGATCTGCTGTAACTAAAATGTAGGTTTGTAGTTGAATATATGGTGCATGGTTTAGGAGATGTAACAGGTAATTGATGCCACTGTGCCCCATCCCAACTCCATTTGGTGGACCATGGGACTTTAGTAAAAAGAATGAGGTAGATTGCACAAGCCTGACGTCTGCACATTCCTGCTCCACATTGACTAGCCCTGGCTCTGCAGAACTTTTCAAGCAATCTCTCTGACCCCTAGGTGGCTATACCAGGAATAGAAAGTAGGACCTTGTGCATGGTAAATGCGTGTGCTACACATGCTCTGACGCTTCCTGTGTTTTCTGATTTTCAGCGTGGAAATAATCAAACAGCAGTAATACACTGTAGCTTCTGAGTAGGGTTTGTTTGTTTGCAACAGAGAGACCTCTGTGAGATTGTAAAAATACTTTTTCCTTTGTAGCTGAAGGAAGTCCTAGTTACATAGTTGTTTTACTAGATCATGCCTCATGTATTTAAGGATGGAGCTGTATTTATTTAAAAGTTTGTTTAAATATTTGAATTTAAATATTGAATTAAAAAATACTGATCTTGGCCCTTCAATAGGCTCATAAGGTTCTTGGTAATCCTTCAGATAATGTAATCTTCAGCCATATTCCAAGGCCAACACCAGCACCTTGAATTGGTCCTGAAAACTATCAGGCAGCCAATGCAAATGACATTGAAATCGGATTACTGTGGAGTAGTATGAATGAGAAGTAAACACAAACTAGGAGTAATATGAGCCAGAAAGATAGCTACCATATAGAATTAAGCCATGATCCACTTTTTTGGAAATTCCATTGAAATCAACCCAAGGTGTAAGTTTTAGGATCAAGATGTTAATATCTTTAACTGAGAAAATTTTGCAATCTGGATGGTTTTTGATAAAAGTTAAATTTGAATTTAATAACTTATCAGATCAATTGGCAGGTCTAACCTGTTCATTTTCAGAATAACAACACCATACAAGCTTATAATACTGAGGTGTCTCAAACTGCTGCTAATATTGTCAAACTTGCATGTTGATATGTTTTTAAACATGGTAGTAAATTATGAACATTCTAGATGCTGCATGTGTGTGATGAAATCTGCTTTGTAGGCTACTTAAAAGTTCTCATAATGTTTCAAACACTAAAACTTTGTTGCTGTTTAAAACAAAATATCTATGTTCATTCACTGCTTGGCTAATATTCTGTGCTTCCTTTCCTCTGCTTTTCTCATACTTTTAATTCTCCAGAACTACCTAAAGTTGCTGAAGGTGCGTAACACCTTTTCTTTCCATTTTCCTTCTTCTGTGTAACTAATTCATTTACTTTTGCTTTGTTAAACAAACCACATTTCTCAGGTCAGTTGGGAATATACTGAAAATGTAGGTGAAAATATTGAGAGATTTTAAACCTAAGCTTGTTGAAACCTTAATGCTACAAGTTGGACTGTCTACATTCACAGACAGCTATTGTGGAAGCAAAAAAATGAGTACCCGATGTCACTTTTTACCTGCATTTGTCAAAATCTGCCTTTTGAAGTATTGACTTAACTTTTTTTTTTCCTCTTGGAACTGAAAATGTTTCTGAAGTTTCTACCAATAATTGAATAAATGGTTGATTTCTTATTGAGAAATCATTGGAGCATTATAGTTTTCTCCAAATGCAAGATTTCCTTCAACATCTCTGGCCAGACCATTTTCAGCATGTTCCATTAAGCAATTTCTGAAGTTACAATGTTTCTTTTGTACTAATGCACTATATATTACATTTGCCATAGCTAGGCCCTAAACTAGTTTAAAAATTTAGGCTGCGATCCTATACTCAATTACCTGGTAGTAATTGCCAGTGGATTAAGTGGAGTTTATATCAGGGTAGACATGTTTAGGATTGTGCTTTGAGCTCGCTTTTTTATACACTAACTCATTTTGAAAAAATCTTGATGTCTGGCATTTAGTCTTAATTCTTTTGACAGTAATTAAAACTGACCTTTAGATTATTCTTTAAGTTAAAACAGGGTTTAGTTTGTTAAGCTTAATGGCTCTAGATTAGGACATAGTAGCAAAAATGAGGAGTAGGTCAGATGCAGTTAGACTTTTTCATGGATTCTCTTGGCTGGATTTTCTGTTCCTGACATGATATTAATTCTGTTCCAGAGAAGAAGAGGCAGAATATCTCGAGTATTAGGAAAACTGCATGCTTCAATCAATTTCCAACGAAATTTAAAATTTAAATTTTTTTAAACTTAAAAATGGGCTACTCAATTCACTTGATTGTTGCCAGCTTGGGGGTGGAGGATCCCTATTAGCCATGGTGGCAAAGTGTTCTCTTTCCCCACTCCCTTTTTTCGTTTTCTTTTTTCTTGCTTTGTTGCAGCAGCAGAAGTAGTAGCAACAACACAACTCCAATTCTGGTGGCCCACCTGTGCTCCTTTCTCCTCAATGCCCAAACTTTTTGGGCAAACCCGGGGGGCCACCACAACATAAAAGTCCTCAGTGCACTGATAAAGCAGTGTCTGTTCCAAAAGGGATATGTATGCGCTCACATCAAACAAGGAAGGAGGCTGACTCTAAGCAAAAGCATGCATTGGCAAACAGTCTCAAGAGGAATAGCCCAAACTCTGCTTGCCAGTTCAGAACTAAGCCCTTGATGATTGTGTCAGATAGTTGCAGGGCAGGGCTTGTGGAGCTATTTGACAATCTGTTGAAGTTACTACTCTTCTGGGGGACTGCTGTATAACAGTAGATGTTCTAAAGGGGAAACCTTGCAATGGAATTGGCTAGAGAAAGTTTTTATAATTTTGCATTGATAATACACATCAGCCAGAACTAAGATTTATGGCTCAACTAGTCATACTATTCTAACAATTCTAAAATTTTACATATCTGATGATTTTTGTTGCTATCTCCCATCAAGTACTTTCCAACTTATGGTGACCTTGTGAATGAATGCTCTCCCAAATGCCTCTGACAGCTCTACTCAGCACTTGTAAACTCAAGGCTGTGGCTTCCTTTATGGAATTGATCTGTCTCATAGCTCATCTTCATTTTCATCTTCCTTCACCTTTCCTTAGCATTATTCTCTTCCAGTGAGTCTTGCCTTCTTATGATATGACCAAAGTACTATACTGCACTATAAATGCACTATACTGGAAAAAAGCAGCAGATAACATTCAGTTAGTTCTTTAAAGAAAAGAAAGAAGAACTCTGTTTAGAAATCCTAACCAGCTCTTCTTATACAAAGGCAGAAAAGGGTAAGGAAAGAGAAACAGTGAAGAGCAAATATACAAGGAATCGTTTAAAAGTACTTGGGTGATAAAAACATTTTCAGATGTTGTCTGAGGAAGTGAAGGAGATGGACAAGAGTTAGTTCCATTTGGCCACAGCAATGGTTTGCTGCTTTAAGATGTAGAGGTAGGATCCTGACACAAATACAGCTTTTTGGCTGGTTATAATTCCAGGAGTGGATTTCCAATATAACTGTTTCCTTTTTCTTGCTGAGTTTTAAATTCTAATTATCTCTCTTGTGGTACCTAACTAGAGGTCTGAAAAATTAAAGCAGAATGTTTCACCTTTTGTGATGTTAGTTACTTTAATATTCCAAAGAACCTGGAGAATATTAATCATTCCTGTCCTGCTGATTTAAAAAATCTTACATTATATAGACAAGTTATCTTTTCTTTTCTTGACTTTGTTGCCCATCAGTCAAAATGACATTATGTACCATGCCCATCTTGCATGGCCACAAATATTATTTTCTTGTTCCTCTCTCAAGAATCTGTTCCAAGTGGAGAGAATCAGCATGTGACAGGAGGTGATGAAGAGGCACTGGATGAATATCAAGAGTTAAATGCAAGAGAAGAGCAGGACATTGAAATAATGATGGAAGGCTGTGAGTACGCCATCTCTAATGCAGAAGCCTTTGCTGATAAGTTATCCAGGGAGCTGCAAGTGCTAGATGGGGTAAGGATTTCTTGTGCAATAATACATGACTGTGTACTTAAAGAGAGGGTAGTTGAAAAGTTATTTGCCTGTGTACAATGTAAGAACTCTTCAGTTTCAACTCATGTGCATAGCACGGTTTGTAAGGCTGACATTTATACTTAACAGAGTCCATATTGTGTTCAATTTATATTAATCCAGTGTTCTCTCCAAAAGCTCTCTTGAGAAAGCCCCCTGGATTAGGTCAATGTTTCAGACCTTGGAAAGCTTCATACTGAGCAAAAAAATAAGAAATGGTTAGGACCCCAAACCTGAGATTCTGGAGAGCTGCTGCCAATCAAAGTAGGCATTACTGGGCTAGATGGACCAATAGTCTAAGCTACTGCAAAGCAGCTTCTCATGTACCTGCTTGGGCTCACAGGAGTGGCTTGTCTGCTGCTAGTTCAGTAGAATTTTAGCTGGACTAAAATTGGACACCCTACTTGGTGCCATACCACAAACTGCCTTTGGAACTGTCTTCTGTTTCAAAAATGCATTGACATGTCTGAAAATGGCAAATCTAAGGATGCAAACCTGTGCATATCTAAATAGAAACATATGGCTGGAGAATGCTGAGAGATGTAGGATTTATTTCTGTTTAAATGTGCATAGGATTTTGACCTAAGTCCACTCTAGGCCAGACTTCCCTATCTGAGTGCCCTCCAAATGTTTTAGACTTCAGCTCCCACAAGCCAAGTGAGCATGGCTAGCTGTCAGGAATGCTGGGATTTATGAACCAAAACATCTGAAGAATATCAGGTTGGGGAGTGCTGCCTTAGACTCATGAGGCTGGTTTCCCAGTCCTCTGAATCACAAACAAAATAATTTAGATTAATTTATTAAATAAACAGCTGACCTATGCTTGGCATGAATGCCAGATGTAGAATGACAATGAGGACTTCCAATGCACTTAGCACAGGCTGAAGAATTCGGTCACTGCGTGGGATCAAGGTGTCACATGTACCTGTCTTCTTTCTTCTGTGCTGTTGGTTATTCCTGCTTTTGGCAGAGCATATCAGAAGTGTGTAGTGTAGTGATTAAGAGCACAGGACTGGGACTAGAGCGATCTGGGTTCTAGTCCCTGCTTGGCCATGCGGTCAACTGGATGACTTTGAGCCCGTCGCAGACACTCAGCTCAATCAATCTCACAGGGTTCTTGTGAGAATAAGATTGAGAGCAGGAGGAGGAGAATGATATAAGCTGCTTTGAGTTTATATGGGGAAAAGTTGGGATAGAAATCTAATAAATAGATAGAAGCACACTAAAGCCCTACAGCAGAGGTTGGCATATGTACCACACTGTGCACTGGCGTGATAAAACCGCTTCTTTAAATTTAACATCTGGCACACTTGCCAAAGAAATCAGTCACCACTAATTTAGTGCTTCATCCATCAAGTTGTACTACTTTCATTCAGCATTGATAGTTAAAGATAGTCCATGTGGTTTAAATTAGCCAACATTTCTACATATGTTTAAGGAGAGTAATGTTGCTGAAATCAGAATATGCTGCTTTTAAGTTACTTCTAGTGCTGTCACAGGGAGTGAGCCACTTTATAAATCAAGGGTTTAGGAATCCTCAACTGCATTAATACAGCTCTTAATAAATACTATTAAGGGGGAAATAAAGTAATGCTATCTAGAAATTACTAGTATGAGCTTTTAAAATACTTCACTTGGACGCAAAGCTGTGAAGTCTGTGCCTGGAAGTCCTGTTGTTAAAATAGCGTTCAAACAGGGACTTAGACCTCAGTATAAGGCAGCTTCTTATCTGTTATAAAAACGTATACTTAGAGTTGGGTAGTGTAGCAGGACTGTGTGACTAGCTGTATTTATATGGTCACTTACCTCCAATTCTGAATTTATTTGGCTTAAATTATTTTCCAAATATATCTCAAAGAAAATTCTATCATTTTCAAGTCTGTTCCAAACTGTAGGCCCCCGTACAGCCTACGCTATTATATTGTAAGCCATCCTGGTACATTTGAGGACAGGGTAGAAATAGTGTTTGTAAGCAGGTAAGTAAAAAATACAGTCCCAAAAATCTCAAGAGTTCAGCAGCTGTTGCATCCATTTTAAGCCCTAGCATCATCACCTTCCTTTTTCTTGGAACCTATCTGGTAGGTGAAGGGAGCATGCTCACCTTGTTGTTTCCCAGGAGTCCTGAATTCTTATGCTACTACATCAGCTTCCTTGGACATAAAGCCCCATTGCCTGCCTGTCCTTTTAAGTGGGAAATAAGTGGATGATGATAAATAGGGCTGGTGCCAAGCCTATTGCAATCAAGAGCAAATCTGAGAGAATGTTTTGGCTTGGTTTTGAACTGGGAGAGTTAATTACTGATTCCACCATATTTCCTCCTGCCTCATACTACTTACCAGGCTGTAAGTTAGTGCTGCTATAATAATTCTTTAGCAGAAGGTTTTGCTAATCAGCTGTGTTCCAAGATAGTGCCTTGCTTTATTTAGCAAATATCAGATTTCCCTGGAATAAATGGTTGTAAGCTGCCCCGAGGCTTCGGCGAATGGGGCAGCATAGAAGTTTACTGAATAAATACCTAAATAAATACATTCTTGACTAAAGATTAGAATGTATATGTTACTTAGTGTCTTATTTTTAACTAACTTACATGATTTGCTTTGTAGGCAAACATTCAATCAATCATGGCCTCTGAGAAGCAGGTGAACATTCTGATGAAGCTCCTGGATGAGGCACTGAAAGAAGTGGACCAAATTGAAATGAAACTGAGCAGTTACGAGGAAATGCTGCAAAGCGTAAAAGAGCAAATGGATCAGATCTCGGAAAGCAACCATCTGATTCATCTTAGCAACACTAACAATCTGAAGCTGCTGTCAGAGATAGAGTTCCTTGTTGTAAGCACGTGAAGTATTTATGAATTTTCATCCAAATACTTAGTCCACCCACACCAAAACGTAGGGTGCAATACAATAGGTGAAAAAGTAAAGACTACACTGCAGTTATATTAATGGCATAAGTTTAGTTGTTCAGATGTGTCTGTCAGTATTCAAGAACTACTTTAGGTGTGCCCAAGGGCCTTGACATGTCTGGTAGGTTTTGTTATTAATTGTTAATCGCTACCTGCAAGTTAAAACAGCCTTCCTCAATTTCGTGCCCTGCAGAAGTTCTGGGCTTATAGACTGAATTGTTAGGCAGACAGTCAGAGTTAGTTGTAGAGGTCATGGTGGGCCATACAGCCATACTTTAAGATTCTTAAATGTGTAGATCTCAAGTCAGTTTGTAACTTGAGCTACAAAACCGCAGCATCTTGAGTACTCTTCAGACAAGAGTGAAGCAATGGAAGCACTGGAGTGCTACTGCATATTGCATCTTTTGAAGCTTCCAAATATTCATCTGAACGAACCTCAATCAAACATATTGTGGAGGTCTAGCTTTGAGGCTACAAAAGCATGAAAGACAGTCCCAATTAAAGATGTATTGGAAATTCTACTGAAATTATTGGTTTTCTAGAAGTGTTGCACAGCTTAATGATTCATACTACTCTAATTTTGTATTCATTGTGTTTTTATTGTTCTGGTTCCTGTAGCATTGGTGTGAGCTTTGTGAGTGTGTGTATACATGCGGATGGGCACTTAACATACTTGGTAGTCTTTCTAAATTGGACTGTGGATCTCTGAAAGCAGCGTTAGGCACACATACAATATCCAGTTTGCCTTATTGCTTTTCCTCAGGAGCCCTTGCTCTGCTTCTTTGTAGTGACTTGACTTTAAGGAGGTCATTCCAATGGGTTAAAATATCCTTTAACTTGTCATGTTGGCCCACATTGGCTTATGCTAGTCCATGTCTGTAATAAAATAGAATTACAATTCCAAGGGGAACAATCATAGTGGACCTGGATGTTGTTTGCAGACATGCACCACTCAGTGTTCTTTTAAATGCTTTTGTACACTCAGATTAATTTAGCTACATATTCGGAAGTGTCTAATTTAACAGCAGCTACAGACATTTATAAAAATTTCTGGAAACAATAATATGGATGGAAATTACTTTTCAGAGGGTCTTCTTTGGAATATTCAAATAATTTAGGTTCTTCCTCTGACACATGAAGAGTGAGGGCTTTAGATCTCAGGCTAACATAGTGAATACTTGTTCTGGCAGAACCACATGGATTTGGCAAAAGGGCACATCAAGGCACTTCAGGAAGGAGACCTTTCATCCTCCCGGGGCATTGAGGCCTGCACCAACGCAGCAGATGCTCTTTTACAGTGTATGAACGTGGCTCTTCAGCCAGGTAAGTAAAGCAAAATACCATTAATATTGTTGTATCTCTCCACTTGGAGTATTCTGATTACTTCCAGCCCCCTTTTCTCTTTCCAAAATCCCTTCTTACTGAAACGGTCTCATTTCATTTCTATGGTTTGTAGGACATGAGAAGCTCGATGCTGTCCGGCAACAGCAGCAGCGCTTTAGCGAACTGCGGGAGCTGTTTGCACGGAGACTGGCCAGTCATCTCAACAATGTATTTGTTCAGCAGGTATTTTTTGCTCCTTTTCTTTGGATCGCTGCTTTCTCAATTGATGGCTCATTTTGGTTATTAGGGCTTTTGGTTATTGTATCCAGATACAGCAGCTGGGCTGACTGAAGTGGTCATCCCTATCCACCTTCCCTGTGGCAGCCCCTCAGCCCTCCTGTCCCCAAATGCTACCCAAAGGACTGGGGGTACCAGTTGAATAGGGAAGCTGTGGAGCAAAGGGATTCCTGAATGTTTGACAGATGCAGCTTCCTGAGTGAAGCTTTGCTCATGGATCCCTCTCTTCCTCATCTTGCTCAGTTGTTTGTTGTTACACGCTGTCAAATTGTCTCTGACTTATGGCGACCATATGTATGAAAGGCCTCAAAAGGCCCTATCCATGACAGCCCTGCTCAGCTATTGTAAATTCAAGACTGTATATTTATTTTCTTCTTCTGCCTTCGAATTGTCCTAGCTTGATTGCCATCTCCAGGGAGTTTTGCCTTCTTACAATGTGCCCAAAGTATGGCAGTTTTGTCATTTTTTCCTTCTAGGGAAGGTTCTGGTTTGATCTGATCTAGGACTCACTTGTTTGCCTTTCTGTTGGTCCACTGTATTCACAAAACTCTCCTCCAGCACCTTGTTTCAAATGTGTCAATTTCCTTCCTTTCAAGCCCTCTGCCCTAGAGCCTACCCATTCAGCAAAATCCCCATACTCCATTGTGGCATGATAGCTAGGTAGACCTGAGAGAACTGCCATGGGAAACAGCTTGGGGAAGACTACTTCCACCACTTCAGTTTGTTTCTTTATTTGTTATCTGTTTAATTGCTCCAATAAAAATAATTATCTGACTGCATTACAAACAGTTGAAAAAAATAAAACATGATACCACTGACAGAAGATGTGGAGATGGTTGCTAGCTTAGAAGACTGTACAAAACAGACAAATTGATGGTGCTCAAGAGAGGCCTGCTCTTGGCTCTTTTGGCACAATATGCAAAAGGCAGCAACTTTTCGCGCCAGTATTTTTTATTAATAGATACTGCACAACATAACAGCCTGGGGTGGGCCCTTTAATCTGTAAGTTTGTGTAGCCACCATTTTGACTTAGGAAGCCTTCCTTGGGGATTGTGATATTGTGCAAACCTGTCAAGTGTGTATTATGCAAGGGTTATGCATGCTCACCAGATTCATATGACATTGGGCTGGCCTTTGTTAGACTAAAGTTTTATCATTTGGTCTCTTATCAGTCTGATCCAGCAAGACGGGTCTGAAGAGAATTGCGTAGTCATTCTTTGTGTGCTTCCTATGTTTATCTTCACCCTCAGTGAGGCCTTGATTTGTGGTGTTCAACCATGGATAGCTAAGCCTTGTACTGAATGACAACCCCATGAGGCTGGCATACTGCCATCCCAAGAACATCTGCTTTGGAAATAGGTTTTGCTCAAATGAAAGGAGCTGTTTAAAAAGCTGTATCCAGAAAGCACCACTGAGTAGCAAAGAGGGGATTGAATAAAGGCAGTGAAATAATGTTCTTTTGCTGCTGTCATTGCCTCCAAATATATTCAAGGATACTGAGAAGGGTCAGTTTAGTGCTTAGGAAAATCTTATTGCCATATAGACAGTATTGTCCCACCCATCAATCCCCTTTGGTGCCCTCAATCTTTTAACTCCCCTACCCTTTTTCAAAGCTCTTGATTTGTGCTAATGGATCCCACCTTTCCTTTACCATTATTTCCTCCCCTGGTCCTTTGCAACTGAGTGCAAATTAGCTGAAAGAAAACCTAATCTTCCTTGCATGTTGCCTACTCTACTTTGTCATGCCCTTTGACAGCTGAAGCATGTAAGGAGGTTGACTAGGTAGAATTATACTAGCAGGTGGTCATCAGAGCCCACTTGTAAAATTACAACACATTTTTTTTTCAAAGATTGTGACTTTAACTGGGCATTTTTTAGGCTCTGGGGAAGGGGGGAATGCTTGGGAAAAAAAAGGGATAACAGTCAGAATGGGCCAGGGGCAAGATAGATTCTGTTACAAAGTACTCTGGGTATGTACTTTGATGGCTGGAAGACTAAGGAGAAAGGTGAGAAGAAAAACCCATGACAAACTTAATTGCCTGCCTGGTGCCCCATAGGTTGTTCACACTGGTGGTTTAGCATTATGGGCAAATCCACCCAATGAGAAACTGCTCTGGTGATTCCCTTTCTGTTCTTGCTATTTTGAGATCTTTGTTGGATTTCTTTTTATGAAAGAAATATTTGGTTCGATTTCTGTGTCATCCTTCTTTTGAAGCTTTGTGGGTTGTACATTGGAAGTTCATTGTCCAGAGGGTTGTATGGGTGTTTCTACTCAGCAGGTTTATTTTTTTATCCCTGTATTTTATTTCCAAATAGTTTATAAAGCTGGAGAGTAGCAGGCCCTACTATCTTTCACTTGCTGTGAGTACAGTGTTTGAATCAAGCTGCTTTAATCTTCTCTGCCTCTTCTTTAAAAACAAAAGCTTGCTAAGCCTAACTCCTTTCTGTAGTGTTGTCTCTGCAAAATAGAAAATAGTGCTTATGACTTGAGAGAAGAAACTCTCTTTGCTGTTACTCCAGCAGCTTCCCACATAAGTGAATTAATACGCTTTCTAAAAGATTTATAATCTAGGCAAGTAGGTGTTGAATCAACATGGACTGTGAAGTGTTTTGGGGCTGTAGTAAGTGCATTTGTTTGTGCATGACTGAAGGTTTATTGCTATATTTAAGTAAGTTACTGTTGGAAGGAGGACAGATGGATACCTCTAATTCAGTACCTCTAGAAATTAAATGATATTTGGGTTATTCCAAAATGCATTTTTAGATATAATAAAAAACCATTGGGACCTACAACAAAGCATTGCCATTTTAGGTGAGTCTCTGTAGGATGCCAACTGGTCATCCTCTCTTCAAAGGTATTCCATTCTATTCTATCCACTCTCAAGCATTCAGCCAGCTTTCTGTGTCCATTGAGCATGTTTGGTCCTCGCTGAGCTCTTTGGGCTTTTCCCCTCGTAGAGATTTATCCATTGATTGAGAGATTGATACCTCTGCAAACTCTTGAGGTTTCCCCAAGTCTTTTGATACCTTTTTCTTGTGTGTGGATGCTGCCATTTTGATTACACAAGGATTCATAGAATGAGTTTGCTATTACTGTATAGTGCACCTAATTATCATGGTAACTTTGAGTTCTGTATGTGAGTGCTAGCACTGATCACATTTAACATTTACTTAACTTGAAGAGGGAAAGAATGGCTTCCATTTCAATATTGAGACATTGCATTATTTGTGCTTGTACAGCGTTATGTGTTTCCTTGGTCACTTGGTTGAATGGGTAATAGAGTGGCTTAAATATATGTGAATTATGTTTATTAATTGGCATTGTTTTGTGTTTAACATCTTGTCCAGAGTTGCATTAAAATAAAAAAGCATACATAATATTTCTGCTGAAAGCTCTTTCTTGTTTAAAAAAAGAATTCTGGAGAATCTGGCTCAATCAAAAGTAGAAACACAAGATAGAAAGGTTAATTTTTGTTCTGCATAAATAGTATGGATGATAATTGTACATGACCAACAGTGCAAACTGAAATTAATCCAAGGGATAATATTTTAGCTGTGAAATATAAGTTAGGGAGAGCCATCCTGACATTTTCAAGTAGATAAAGCAATTCTGGATAAGATGCATTGTGTTGCAAAAAAATCATTCTTAATGCATAATGTGTAGCTCAGCATTTATTCTGTCCTTTCATTGTTTTGTTTTGCAAAAGCAAATATATTACAATGTTTTGACTTTCCAAGTACAAAAATGAACACAGACAAGTTGGAAGACATACCTTATAAATGTCAGGCAACATCTGTCAGTTTCCCAGGTTATCCAGCTAGTCTGAACTCCCTCAGTGTTTGCTCACAACTTTCTTGTGTTGCTTTCTTCTGCCAAGGGTCATGACCAGAGTTCCACTCTTGCTCAGCACTCCATTGAGTTGACATTGCCAAACCATCATCCCTTTCATAGAGATTTGCTTCGCTTTGCCAAACTGATGGAATGGTTGAAAAACACAGATTATGGGAAATATGAAGGACTAACAAAGGTGAGTGGCTCAGACTTCAAGTGAAATAGGTCATGGCACATGCTGTTGTTTGGCAAAAGTGAGCCACCTGCTCTTCTGCTAACTTAGGTGGCAAATTGAGATATTTCTCAAGTGTGTGAGCTGCTAGTGCTGTACTTTCATCATTTTTTTGACTTTTCAAGATTGGGTCATGAGGAAAGTTTATGCATTACAGTCACTGCATGCTTTCTCTGCTGCTTCCTATTAGACTCAAGGTTGCATTTTCAGTTGCATCACCTTTTGAGGTACTTGCTCTTAGCTTCAACACCAAACAAGTACATGCAGCACCCTTGATTTGTTCATTACTTTTTGCATCTATACACACACACACACCTATTCTACATAATACATGTATTTGAATAATATTTGTATATGCCTGCAAAGTACAAAGGTACATAAAGAAGTAGGCAAAGTCAGTCCAGTGTGGTTTTATATATAGGCCAACCAGCTTCATGGATTTTGGATACTGCCTGCAGTTTTTATATTAAGGGCAATTTACCTTGTCAAAACCTGGGCTTATCAAACCAATGGAAAGCACTATGTCTGCGATATTAAGCATGATAGGAAAACTCTTAAGTCAACATGACTGCTAATGTCATTGCAGCAAATGCTGTTGACGTTGTGCTAGAGATCACTAATGCTAGTCCAATATAATTTAGGTTACTAGTAATGTTGCCCAGTGTTCTGAGGAGTTTGCAATCTAATGATGTGCTAATTTCAGACTAAGGCTTTGCAAGTTAATGCCTATCAGTTACTTTGCACTTTTCTGTCATTGAAAAGCTGGGATTACTGAGTGTATAGCTTATGGGTAAGGTAAAGAAAATAGGCATTTATTATTGGTATTGCACCTGTCAGCTCATTTTATGGTACAGGAAGGAATTCCTTAACTTGTAAAACTGATGTAGGTAGTACATCCAATACTGTTGCTGTACCTTTTCTCATTCTCCTGCACCTGCAAGTCTAACTACAGGTGCAACAGGGCTAGCTGTTCCTAAAATAGCCCTGGAAATAAATAGAATGCTTGTTTCTGGGACAGTTCAGCAGAGCTCCCTTTTGAAGAATCAGGCTTTTCTATGTGTTTCTGGTTTCTTCAGGAAGAAGATAGGTAGCATTTGATATCTGTGTCAATACCAGCAATGTTTTCTCTTCTTGCATATAGCTAATTCTGCATTTGTTTTTCTTTAAGAACTATATGGATTATTTATCACGGTTGTATGAAAGGGAAATAAGGGATTTCTTTGAAGTTGTCAAGATTAAAATGACAGGTGCAACCAAGGAAGGAAAGAAGTTTGGTAAGTTTCTCACAAGTGCTTCCTTTTTGCAGTTGTAGCTCAGTGGTAGATTGTGTCAGAATGATTTGAACTGGTTCCTCCTTTTGCAGGTGATAACCATTATTTTAGTAGTGATTGCTAAACGAAGTTTTGAGCAAATGAGCTCTCCCACAGAGCATGTAGTAGATGCAGTGTAATATCTGAACGCCCATGTTTTAAAGGAGAAAATGTTTTGAAATATCCAAGATGAGATCCAAGATGACAGCCTCTTCAAAGTGCCCAAGAAGTAATTGGAAGGGCTGTCACTGTTTTGCCACCCTGATTTTTTAAAAAGTGCAAAAAATTGTGAGATTTTGGGAGTTAATTCAGGGTCTAAAATAGAAAACCTCACCTTGTCAGTGTCCTCTATTGGTCTGATGTGGTTTTAACTTAATTATTATGTGCTTTTAAAAAAAAACACAAAAACTTTTGTTAACTGTCCAGAGAACCTCAGCTCTTGGGTAGTATAAAAATGAAAAAGGTAAATAAAATGCAACAGTTACCAAGCATAGATATTGACCCAGAGAGGTTGCAAATAAGGTTATTATGTTAGTTTGCACTCTCTTACAGCTCTCAAAAGGTGAACTGTCAAGGGACGACAAGAATGAGAGAGATCTAGGCTTGCAAAGGGGGATGATGGTTAGATTGCCACATATGTGGTGAGATCTCCAGTGCTTTAGTTGGGCATGACTCTTCTCAGTTTGTTTAATGCAACTACCTTTTGTGGCAGGTTAACTCGGGTGGGTTTTCATGTCATGTGAACCCAGTTAAAGACTTACAGCAGAATTAAAGAAACACACTTAGCTTGTCTTAGCTTTGTTCTTTGTTCCTTCCTAAGTGTCTTGAACTGAGCACAGATTAGTTAAAGGAAATTGAACTCACCAGCCTTTCCAAATTTATTATTTATTTATTAGTATTATATCCCACCTTTGTCCTTTTAAAGAACTCAAAGCAGCTTACATCATTCTCCTTCTCCTGATCTCAATCTTATCCTCATAAAAACAACCCTGAGAGTTTGACTGGGCCAAAATCACCCAGGTGGCTTAGTGGAGACTAGAAACCAGATTGCCTGAGTCCCAGTCCTGCTTTCTTAGCCACTATACCACACAGGCTTTCAAATGGTGTTTACGCTATATTATTCTGGATATAGATTAATCGCAAAACCATGGAACAAAATAGATTTTACAGTGTAGGAAAGCTAAAGAGGTAATCTTTTGGGAAATGCATGCCAGCAATGAGTGGTACTGATTAACATTCCTGGATATCCCAGTTGCCATATGTAACAAGCTGTGCAAACTGCATGCCCATTGTTTGGATTTTAGTGGATTAGTATCCTGAAATTGCTGTTGGGAAGCATTCTGTTACAAATTGCAAATGAAGAGAAGAATTGTACAGATTGCACCATGTAGCACCAACAAAAATATGAAAATGAATAGTTGTTTGGTTATATTTTTTTAAGCATGAGTTCCAGTGAAAATCTGGAATTGGTAATGACCAACACTGCAATCTGATACATGTTTACTTAGCAGTAAAATATCTAAAGTAATATCTAAAGGAACGCTTGCGTCCATATATGCCCTCCCGCCCCTTGAGATTAGCAACAGATGCCCTTCTCCGGGAACCCTCTGTGAATGATATTAGGAGGGTGAGTACCCAGAGGAGGGCTTTCTCTGTGGTGGCGCCCCATCTATGGAATGCGTTCCCCAGAGAGGTCTGCCTGGCGCCATCGTTATTTGTTTTTCGGCACCAGGCTAAGACCTTTTTATTTAAGACTTATTTTATTGTTAAATTATTTGAATTAATAGGATTTTAAATTTTTAGCCGAGAATGCACTGGGGGTTTTTAAACATTTTTTTTGAATTGTTGTATTGTTGTTATTTATGTATTTATGTATCCTTTGTGAGCCACCCCGAGGCTTTGTTGTGATGGGGGCGGCATAGAAATGTTTTAAATAAATAAATAAAGCCCATTGTATTCAATGGTGTTTACTCCCATTGTAGCCTATGCAGTACCTTGCATCCTTAGAAGTAAATCCCATTGGACACAGAGCAGGTTATTTCTGAGTGAACCTGTGAGACTGCACAATGTCTGCAGTTATTTTTTGTAGATATTATTAATCAGTTCTTCTGCCTATGTAGTCCATCCTTTCATTTGTAAATACTAGATTGGAATGTAATTACCAGATATTTTGTGTTTAGTAACATGGCATCTTTTGTTTTTGTGTTGTGATCTGAGAATGTCTCCACTCCAGTTGGTTATTTGTGTAAAACCTGTAGAACTATGCATCTCTGCTGTAATCTCAGGGGGAAAAAATCTTACTGAGAATTTTTGTGGCGTCAGAATAAATATAGATTGTCTAGAAATGTTTAGAAATATATAGAAATTTTAGTCTTATAGCCCCGTGGTGGGAGGAAAGGGATTAATTTTTCTAAAGCCTGTACTGTGTAGTTGAATTGGAGTTATTGTTCTCTGCCTTGGATTCGTCTCAATGTTGGAAGGTATTTCATGTAATCATGTATACCACATAGAAAGGTGATTACGGCAGTGTAAGTTATCCAAGTATCCAATACTGAGATAATACTCTAGGCTTACCAGATTTACAAGATATTGGGATTTGAATATACTTTTATGCTAAAATGTAGGTTTCCTTCACATAGTACTGTACAATATAATTTTTTACAATATTTTCTATAGCCTTCATTAGTGGACATAAGAATGTAATGATTTCTCATCCCCATAATGGACCAGGTTTCATATATAAGTGTTAAGCTGTGATTTTGATGTTTTCTACATAATTATAGCAGTGCAGATCTTTGCATACATGTTGAACTTCCCCATTGTCAGAACCATTTGAACAATACAAGTATTAAAACAGTCACTTAAGAGCTGAACTTGGCTTTCAATAGAAGGTAGCCAAGGGACATGGATTAATAATAGTAGTTTTACAATCCACGAGCTGCCACATTGTAAAGGATATTGGGGAAAATCTCCTGGATCGTGGGCAGCCAGTGCTCACAGTATGGTGGGCAGTCCTTGGAATCTCTGGTAAGGGATCCTTGGTCACATCCAGTTTACATACTGTAGCCTCTTTGGGCAGTCAATGCCCTGAGCAAGAACTGCCTTCTCTTACCTGTGTCATGTCTTATGTACTCCGGGAGCTCCATCAGCCTTAGCTGGACACAGCTTGTACAGTCGGGGCTCAGCCGTTGGTTTGTTTTCTCCCCTCTGATGACAAACTGGTAAGCTTTCAATGGGCTGTTTGAAATTTAACACACACTGTCTTCATAGTTAAGTATTCCAAATCGGTACCTCCCCAGCCATGTTTGTTTGCAACTTGTAGTTACTGGCTTCTCATAGGTCTCTGCATGTTTCTTTCCAGCTAGTGCTTAACTTGCATCTCGTGCATGGTTTGTGCAAAAATGCATTTTTAACTTGTCTTTGTCTTTGATGCTTGCAACCTAATCCATCCCAGCTACACTGCCTCGAAAAGAAAGTGCTGTCAAACAGGAAACAGAGAGTGAGTATGACCAGTGCTTTAATTGGTTATTGCCAGTACATTCATGTCTCTGTAAAAAGTAATTGTGGCAAAACCTATTAACTCCAGAAATGTTGGGTGCCATATTTTTGCACAAATGTGTGTGTGCTACAGTAAAACTAAATTTTTGGATGCAAGGCTAGGAAAACTTGGCAACAGAATCTTGTAGAAATCCAGTGAGACTAGATCTACAGGCTAAATGCAATATAAAAGCATTCTTAAGTTTTTCTTAAATGTAGGTAAGCAGTGGCTGCACAGGGCATGTTTTTGAGGCAAGATTTGCATCCCATCTTTTTAAAGTTTACATGGAGCCTGTAATTCAGGGTTCTTTGCCATATATACTGCAGGACAGTACAATTGCAAACAGCACTACCAGAGGGGTGATACTGGTATGGGATTCTTCGGTACTGCAAAATCCTTGCCATCATGGAAGCCCACACTCAGCTTTTTGTGCTAGTGCAGTCTTCAAGTCCCATCAGTGGGAAAGGTCTTCCTCCCAAAGACTTATGCCCACTTCAGTTCAAAGGGCAGCCATGTAATTTTGCATGGCTATTTGAATCCAGGGATTTTCTAACAGCTGCCAGCCATTTCCAAAGCACTGGCCAAATTCTTTACAGCAGTGCAGCCCTCCAGGCTTTGGTGATCTGACACACTTTCTACTTATACCCAGGTAGCAGGATTTTGCTCATCTTACAGTAAAAGGACTCTGAGATGTAGGGCTATAATTTCAAGATTAAAACTCAGATTTGCACATTCCCTCCTTCTAATGCAGCTGTGACGAGAAATTCAGAAGATTTTGCTTCTTTTTTAAATTAACTTCAGCTTCCTGTATCGTCCAAACCTAGCCAAGTGTGGTTAATACTAAATGATGGTCTGAAGTTGGCTTGTTTCTACTAACCATACTTGGGGTTAAGCAAACCAACGTTAAACCATTTTCACTAATTTTAGTTAAGGTTAATCACTGTTCAGGCTTTAGGTGTCCTACTAAATCATGGTTGATCTAAAACAGAAGCTTCTGATCTTCCTGCAGCTGCATTGGAGGAGAGGGGAGCATGCAATCCTCAAGCTTGCCTACATTTATCAAATAGTCACTGTTACTTCACAGTGTCCGCTGTCCCCAACCCTCACGGGAGACTTGGAGGAGAAACTTAGCTGAAACAGGAAGGTTGGGAGTAGGAAGACATTTTTATTCACAGTTTTTAAAATCCAAGCCAGCTTTGAAATTCCTGCCAAAGTGGTGGCTTTTTCCTATACTGAAGCAGTGCAATTGCACAATATACATTCACAATATACATGCTTGGTACTTCTCTGTAACTGAAATGGGGGACCACAGAAGTTGTGTGAGTACATAAGTATTTCTGTGCAGTCAGAGCTTGGCAATCCCAGCACCTTTTGAGTGAAAGAAGACCTTCATTGGTGGATAAGGTCTATCTGTATGGAGTAGCCTATGGTGGAAACATTTCTACCAAAAGACTTCTTGAGGACATGGAGGGTTTCCTTACCTTTCCCGCAGATGTTTGCTACTATTTTCTTTTTAAGAAAAATAGTAACATTTTGCCATTGTTCTGCTTTTGCTTCTAGAGGATGCCTTTTTATGAATTGCATCTGGCCTTTCTATCTGCCTTACCTCTTCTCTTTTCTGGAATGTTATTGGCCTTACAGTAGTCCTTGTATTTCCTTATCCCAAGTGTCTGTCTCTAAATGTTTGTTCCTGAATTAGTTTCTTTCATGAGGAAAAATGTGAGCACAGCCTATTCTGCCTATTCTGTAGGGGAAGTACTGACAATCTTAAGGGAGAAAAGACAAGGCTACTTAATATATAATGTTTATTGTATTGCAATGCATATTCCATCTAGGCTAGCTTCTTACCTGGTTTATGTTATAATCGTAGGCCTTCATGGAAGCTCTGGGAAATTGACAGGTTCAACTTCCAGCCTAAACAAACTCTCAGTTCAGGGTTCAGGAAATCGCAGGTCTCAATCATCCTCATTGCTAGATATGGGCAACATGTCTGCATCTGACCTTGATGTGGCTGACAGAACCAAGTTTGATAAGGTAAAACGCAAGAGCGCTGCAAGAGGCCATAATACAGAAAATATTAATTTAACTCTCCAGTCTTAAGTTGCATGTGTGGCATGGGAGTTACGTAGCTTCTTTGAACAGTACCGAAGTAACCTCAGGAGTCCCAGGTCACTTGAGAGCAGCCCAGGAGGCAGTCCCTCTTCTTGCTAATGCTGCTCCCCCCAGAAACTGGTGCAGTGCAGGTGTGGGAAGGGGCTGCTGCACTCACTCTACCCATGTAGCACCTGCTTTTATCCTTTCAGCAGGGGAAGGAGCTGTGCAGAAACAGATCATGCACTGACAAGGGAAGGTGAGAAGGGGCTGCAGTGGAAAAGGCACACTGCTTCTACAGTCCTAAAAACACCAATAATTTAATAGCCTGCAGGACTGTTTCCTGAACTATTTTTTTTCTTGAATGTTTCTCACAAAGTTGCTGAGTTCATGCGCAGAAGAAATCTTCAGGATCCACCACCACCACCACCACCACGATTACATTGCATTTCTATACTGCCCCTAGCCAAAGCTCTCTGGGCAGTTCATAACATTTAAGTCACCCATCGAGATTTGTTTGTTTGTTTGTTTGTTTATTTAGGAAACTTCTATGCTGCCCCATTTCCGAAGCCTCGGGGCGGCTCACATCCATAAATAAAGTTCCTTAAAATAATATAAATTAACAGTATAAATTAAGTTAAGTCGCCCTGGCCAGAGAATAAAATGAATAAATACTATTAACAATTAAAATGACATTTGAATAAAATGGTCTTCGCCTGGCGCCGAAAAACAAATAACGACAGTGCCAGGCAGACCTCTCTGGGGAGCGCATTCCATAGATTGGGTGTCACCACAGAGAAAGCCCTCCTTCGAGTACTCACCCTCCTAATTTCCTTCATGGAGGGTTCCCGGAGAAGGGCCTCTCCTGCAGATCTCAAGGGGTGGGCGGGCATATATGGATGTAAGCGCTCCTTCAGGTAACCAGGACCCAAGCCGTTGAGGGCTTTATAGGTCATCACCAACACCTTGAATTGAGCCCGGACTTCAATGGGAAGCCAGTGAAGCTGACGGAGGACTGGAGTCATGTGAACATAACGCCCAGTCTCTGTCAGCAGCCTGGCAGCTCTATTTTGAACCAATTGAAGTATCCGGACCATCTTCAAGGTAACCCCACGTAGAGCGCGTTACAGAAGTCAAGGCGGGAAGTCACCAGCACGTGTGTCACTGTCGCCAGGCAGTCGTACTCCAGGTAGGGGCGCAGCTGATGGATCAGCCGAAGCTGAAACAAAGCGCTCCTCACCACCGCTGTCAGTGAAAGCTCTGGGTCGAGGAGCACTTCCAAGCTGCGGACCTTGTCCCTAAGAGGGAGTGCAACCCCATTCAGGACAAGGTTCAATTCACCCTCTCCGAAGCCCGATCCACCAACCAACAGGACCTCCGTCTTGTCTGGATTGAGCTTCAGTTTATTGGCCCTCATCCAGCCCATTACCTCAGCCAGGCACCGGTTCAGCACAGCCACTGCCTCACCTGGATTGGTGGAAAACGAGAGGTAGAGCTGGGTATCATCAACGTGCTGATGATTTCGCAGCCCACACCTCCGGATGACCTCTCCCAGCGGTTTCATATAGATGTTAAATAGCAAAGGGGACAAAATGGATCTCTGTGGTACTCCATGTCATAGCTGCCATGGTGCAGAGCCATAGTCCCCCAGCACCACCTTCTGGAATCGGCCATTGAGATAGGAGCGGAACCACTGCAAAGCAGTGCCTCTGACCCCGAATCCCACTAGCCTAGCCAGAAGGATACCATGGTCGATGGTATCGAAAGCCACTGAGAGGTCCAGAAGAACCAACAGGGACGCACTCCCCCTGTCCTTCTCCCTGCACAGGTTATCGTACAGGGCGACCAAGGCAGATTCAGTACTGTACCCGGGTCTGAAGCCGGACTGAAACGGGTCCAGATAATCAATTTAGGCAGAATCGGGGACTGCAGGCTATATGGAAGCTTGAAATCAAGTGCAATCCATGTGAAACTTGTGCTATCTACTCCAACCTGGAGCCTCCCAGATGTGTTAGACTAGTCTCCACCATCCGTGGGGCTGCCCACTGGCCATGCTGGCTGAGGTTGATGAAAGCTGTAGGCCAAAGCATCTGGAGGGCATCAGGTTGGAAAAGCTGAACTAATATGTCTCACATATTTAATAGTAACAGCTTGTTACAGTAGAAGGCAATAAAGCCTCCGCTTTTGTGTGGACTTGAAAATAAATTCTATGTGCCACATTGCTATAGTATAAATGGCACATGGTCTGTGGCACTGATGACTGAATTGTGCCACTCTAAATGCCTAAGCTGAAATCCAGAGCACCAGCAGCAGCTTCTATTGCATTCCCATTATATCCTGCCTTTCTTCATCTTGCAGGGAACTCAAGGTCACTTTCAAGGGTTTTTTCTTCTCCATTTTATCCTCACAACAACCCTGTGAATAGGTTAGGTTGAGAGTATATGACTGGCCCAAAGTCACCCTGTAAGCTCCATGGCTGAGTAGGCACTGGAACTCAGATCTCTTGGGTTCCAGTTTATCAGTCTAACCACCATGCCCCACTGGCTATCTGTTAGGTGTGCAGACAAGAAGTACATGTGCCAACGGGCAGCTCTAATACTCTTTAGGACTCAGATGCTCCAGTACTAAAGCAACACAAACTGCTGTTCAACTTAAAAAGCAGCCTGTCTCTTCGGCTGTCTGAGCTATGCTAGCAAGAACGTCAAAACAAAATAAGCACAGCTCTTTCCTCCTCCTCTGTCTGCAACACTATCTTTTGATCATGAAGCATGTTTCATTCCTTATAAAGTGAGTATAATGGCAGTAGTTATTTGTGTATCAAAGCTATATTTTGATATTTGCAGATTTTTGAACAAGTTCTAAGTGAACTGGAGCCCCTGTGTCTTGCGGAACAAGACTTCATTAGTAAATTCTTCAAACTTCAACAACATCTTAGCATTCCTGGAACACCAATGGTATTCGTATTATTATTATTATTATTATTATCCACCTATTTCCAGTAATTTAGACTATCTTAATTGTATTTCTTAATTTTGAGGATGATCAACTCAAAAATGTAATTGTTAAAACTCTTGAGTGACTTCCATTTAAAGCATGATTTCTTTTTCAGAGTGATGCTGAGGAGACAGATGGAGGAACTTTATCAAGAATGCATGGTACTGGTGGTCCTCAGTCAATATCTTCAGAGTATGTGAAAATATTTCATTGATACCATTTGAGCCTGCAAATATGCATGCATTTTAATGCATTGTTAGCTTTAAAACTGGATGTTCCTTGTGTAATAATGAAAACACAGCAAAACTACTGGACCATGCAGCTGTAGCAGTAAACTTGTTTAGTGTATATTTAATCATGAAATTTTTTTTTAGTCTACTCATGTAGTAAAGCAGTGACAGAAATCTACATACAAATTTGAACTTCCTAGCAAGTATTGGGAATGCTACATGCCAGAAATATCTGTAACCAAATAATGGTAATAGAGTAAATTTGACAAACTATTACTACTACTACATTGCATTTATCTCCTGCCCCTTTTTACTCTTGTGAGAAATCCAAGGCAGCTTACATACGTAGCTCCATTTTATCCTCACAACAATAGTCCTTTGAGGTAGGTTGGGCTGAGAGTGAGTGACTGGGCCAGAATCACCTAGTTAGCTTCCTGGTCAAGTGGGGACTAGAACCCAGAGTTTCCAGGTCCCCAATCCAGCCTGAGTGAATCAATCAATCCCTAATCAGACTGGGATAGCTCTTGTGCAAGAGGACTGGGATAGCTCCTGTGCAAGAAGGGTGATGTTACCTGCTTCACTGTAGCATTACAGGAATGAAGCAGAGAAGCTTTGGAAAACTATTTGGAATTATGAGTATTGCACAAACTCTACATAATGTGTTTTGCGAGGGTAGGAGGAACCATAGCTCTCTGACAAATAGTTTCTAATTAGATGGTCCCAGGTTCAGTCTGTGGTATTGCTAGTGAGACACATGAGGTAGTAACTCATGTGAAAAGACCTCTGCCTGAGAACCTGGAGAGTCATTGTCAGAGGGTGGAAAATATTGGGCTGGATTCCCATGCTCTAGAATCATGATAAGTGAGATTTCTTAAAAGTTGAATGCTTTAAGACCAAGGCAGTGCATCATTAAAATTAATGCAAACCCTTTCTCCTTTATCCCTGTACTGGAAGATCTGGAGACTAATTCTTACCTGCAAATAAAAAACGATGTAGATTTAAAAATGAATAAAGCTAAATAACCATGGTACTGAGCCAATTTTGATCTATATATCCTGCTCCCCATTTCACAGGAATCACATGATCCGGCAGATGATGACAAAAATATTTCGCTGCGTTGAGCTAGAATTGAATAACCTTATTGCTTTGGGGGACAAGATTGATAGCTTCAATTCTCTTTACATGCTGGTGAAAATGAGTCATCATGTATGGACAGCACAAAATGTGGATCCAACTTCTTTCCTCAGCACAACACTTGGAAATGTATTAGTGACTGTCAAAAGGAACTTTGACAAGTGCATTGTAAGTTTGTGACAGCTTGAACAATTGGGTTCTTTAAATCTATGGAGGCAATGGGCAGTGGGCAAACTGGATAAGACTGCAGATGAAGCAGGACCATATCATACCACCTCCTGCTTCAATGCATTGACCACAATATCTAACTGATGTGTTGTTGTTGTTATTGTTAGTCACGAAGTCGTGTCCGACCCATCGCGACCTCATGGACAACATTCCTCCAGGCCTTCCTGTCCTCCACCATCCCCCAGAGTTCACTCAAGCTCACGCCGACTGCTTCAGTGACTCCATCTAGCCACCTCATTCTCTGCTGTCCCCTTCTTCTTTTGCCATCTATTGTTCCCACCATTAGGCTCTTCTCTAGTGAGTTCTTCTCATTAGGTGGCCAAATTATATTAGTGTCATCTTCAATATCTGGCCTTCTAAAGACCAGTCAGGGTTGATCTCCTCTAGGACTGACTGGTTTTATCGCCTTGCAGTCCAAGGGACTCGCAGGAGCCTTCTCCAGCACCACAATTCAAAGGCCTCAATTCTTCAGTGCTCAGCCTTCCTTATGGTAACTGATGTATACAGGCATAGATTTCTACCTGTGTATGTCAACAACATGGGCTCCTGTGGAAGTCTGATAAGTACCAGGATAAGCCCTCTTGGGCACTGCCTGGAAGATCTCACTGTCACTGAATGGCAAGCCCGTTGCCTCAGAATATTTCAATGTTCACCTTCCCTTTGCACACTTCTGCTATCCCACATCACCTCACAATACTTTAGTCTTTTTGTTCTTAAGATTACAAAGGTCTTAAATTCTTCTGCAGCCAGAACTAAGTAGCTGGGCATTCATGCTGTTGTTGGTTATGGTTTGGATATATCTGCTTTCCTGTTATCTCTTTGCATTTCTTAGTTGATTCAAGGTAGATTGTTTCCATCTCCTTGTAACTTTAAGACAAACACTTATGGCCTACCAACTCTGTCTTTTCATTTCAGAGTAACCAAATAAAACAGATGGAAGAAGTAAAGATATCCAAGAAGAGTAAAGTTGGAATTCTCCCTTTTGTTGCTGAGTTTGAAGAATTTGCAGCACTAGCTGAATCTATTTTCAAAAATGCAGAACGAAGAGGAGATCTCGATAAAGCCTATTTGAAACTTATTCGAGGAGTTTTCGCTAATGGTAGGAGTTTTCTTTTGAGCAGAAAATCAGTGGTCTAATGTCTCATAGAAATACAGTATTCAGTTGCAATCATACACCCCATGCATGGGAAATTGGTGACACTCCAGCTGTTTTCATCTGCAACTGCTGTAATTTGTTAAATTTATATCCTACCTTTCCTTGCAAGGAGCCCAAGGCAGCATACACGAGCTTCCCCCTCTATTTGAACCAAAATCTCTTGCGCTGACTGGGGCAGATGAGGGTTTACATCTGGAGGGCCATGATGACCAGCATTCCCTTTCCTCACCAGGCAACACCCCCTCCCTCCCCTGTGCGCACACACACAGTGTGCACAGACAAGCAGATTAAAAAAATATTTCCAAAGGAAGTCGCATCCACAGCAGCTACAAGAAATATTAACACCATTTTTATCTTACAATTTATTTGGAAAAATATTGATGGGGGTGGCCGGGACCTTTGACAGTTGTCAGAGGCACTATGACCATAGGTTGACCACCCTTGTTATAATTGTACCCCAACAATTCTCGTGGTTTCCTAAAATCACATAGATGTCACCCTTCTAACTTGAAAACTGGAGTTCAGTTATGCTTATGTAATCATGAAAATGTTTACATTCTGGATACTTCCAGCAGAGGCTTCTAGTTCAGCAGCATTTTGCCTTATCCACAGAATTTTATGGGAGGATCCAGATGCCATTGTGGTTTTTTTTTATTTCTGTAAGCCTCTTATCTTTCCCCACTAATTCTATAGTTGTGTTACCAGCAAAATCTGTTATGGAGAAAAAGAACTATAGCTATAGGGTGCCTTCTAAGTGGCAGCACTAGTAGTCCAGCTTCTAGAAGCACTCTCTGGCTTATTGACACCTTTATGATTGTATGTGTATGGGATATATTGTATTTTAGTGGAAAAAGTGGCAAATGAGAGCCAAAAGACACCCAGGGATGTGGTCATGATGGAGAATTTTCACCATATCTTTGCAACACTCTCTCGGCTGAAAATCTCATGTCTGGAGGCTGAGAAAAAAGAAGCAAAGCAAAAATACACAGATCATCTGCAGTCGTATGTCATCTACTCTTTGGGACAGCCACTTGAGAAATTGAATGTAAGACATTAAACTTCTTTAATAGCTTTTATTCCAGTTTATAATAAGTTTTTGTGTACATGCAGCAGATAAATGAGCCTTTCTATTTTCCTCCACTAAGTGCTGCATTTCTGAATCTATCAGTATTCATTTGGATGCCGAACAATTATAATTTGTAAAAGCAAGTTTTAGAAACATTATTGGAGAGAGCAGGAAGAAGTGAAGTAGTGACAAATCTTCAGATTTATTTGCTATTTAGTGAATACTGACCTTTCTGCAAGCTGCCTTTTCACAGCTCTTTGCAGAATAACAGCAGATACAATTTTGCACATAATGTTTCCCTGTAGCAGGACAAGATGGCAAAGTATTCTACTGCCACAACTTTGACTTTTCTACGTTTTGTTGTATTACAGCCTGGAACTGAAAAGACTGTAACTGCATTGTTGCCACTTGATTATGCTAGATACATTGTGAAGGTGCAAAATATTTTTCTTATAGCAAAAAAGTTAAGTCAACAAAAACAAACTGGCATTTGTTGGTTGCATAAGTATTCAGCCCCGTTGCTGTGATATGCTTAAATAAGTCCTGGTGCAAACCACTACTTTCAGAAGGCACAGACTTTAAATACATGAATGGAGTCTGTCTCAGTGTAATTTCATTGTCACATGATCTCAGATTAAATATGCCTGCTTCTGGAAGACCCCAGAGTGTGTTCGAGAGCATATCTAAACAAACAGTGTTGTGAAGACTAGGGAGCTAGCAAAGCAACTCTGAAATGAAGTTGTAGAGAACACCAATCAGGGTTCAGGTTTTTTTAAACCCAAACTATGAACATCCCTCAGAGCAGTGTTAGATCTGTTATTACAAAATGGAAAGAATATGGTTCAACTCGGCCTAGAGAAGGCCATCCACCAAAACTGATGAAGGTGGCATCACATTGTGGGGATGTTTTAATTCAGGAGGGGCTGGAAAAGTGGTCAAGATTGAGGGCAACGTTGAGTAAGCCAAAAACAGGGCAATTCTAGAGAAAACTTTCAGGCTGGGAGGGATTTGGGACTCAGAAGCTTACCTGTTCAGCAGGACAGTGACCCTTATAACTCAGCCAAAGTTACACTGGAGTGGTTTAAAAATAAGAAACTGAATGTCTCAGAATGGTCCAGACAACTCTCAGTCTGACTGTGGCAAGTCCTGAAAGCTGCTGTTCACCAACAGTGCCCGATGAAACAGTTTTTCTGGGGAGAATAGGTGGACATTGTAGGACCCAGGTGTGCAAAGCTGATAGAAATTTACCCAAGAAGACTTGCAGCTGAAATTGCTGCCAAAGATGCTACTGTCTAATATTGACTCAGGAGGGTGAATACTTACACCCAAACAGGTGCCAGTTTGTTCTTGTTTGCTTAACTTCTGTGCCACAGTAAAAATACTTTGCAGTCCCAGAGTGTACATGAAGTGGTAACAATGCTAATTGAATTCATTTCCAGGTTGTAGCACAACAAAATGTGGAAAAGTCAAAAAGAGGGTCACAAAGGTCATCGCCACAAAAGCACTGAACGGAGTTTCTTCTATTGTGCTCCTCTTATGCTGTAGTGTGATACTGAGATATGGGGAAAAGATGCTGTTATAGAAACAGGAATGACATAGAAATGGTCACTGTGGTATCCCGTTTTGGAGAGGCAAGCTTGCAGACAGTTAAGCACCTTCCTTTTATCCGCTACTGGGATTATGGTAGCTCATCAGTTCTTACCGATTGATACAATAAATATCTACATGATGGAATGCCATTAGTAAACCATTTTTATGGCTGGCAATAGGCTGGCCTAAACTAAGGAAGGGCTTGTATGTCCTAAACACCAATATGTATCAGCACATATAACTGTACCAGGCTGCCTACAGTATAAGCATGAGATTTATCACAGAGGCACAAGCAGGGAACTTACAGTTTGGTGGCAATGTGGAGCCTGTAGCTAATTTGGATGGTTTCTGACCTTTTTCATTTGACAGGAAGTAAGAGAAGCCAAGTCAGTGTCATATCTGTGAAATCTGCTTTCCAGTTCTAGGGTATAGAAACAAAGCTTACTACCAGATGCTAAGAGCGAGCACCCTGTTTGCAAATTAAATAATAAATTGATTTCTTTTCAGCACTTCTTTGAGGGGGTTGAAGCTCGTGTGGCCCAAGGTGTGAGAGAAGAGGAAGTGAGCTACCAGTTGGCCTTCAATAAACAAGAGCTAAGAAAAGTTATAAAGGAATACCCTGGCAAGGAAGTGAAAAAGGGACTAGATAACCTTTATAAGAAGGTGGACAAACACCTCTGTGAAGAGGAAAACCTACTCCAGGTAATATATTGGATGGTAGGCTGTGATTTAGAGAATAATCCCATATTAATCAAGTTAATATTGTATAAATGTTTTATATTGTATTTGGAGGTGCTCTTGGCATTGTCACTGACGCTGCGGAGCACCTTTTATGAGTTTAGGCTGATATACCAATTATGAACCTATCTGGACAGGGTTATATGTGTTAGAGTAGCCTCACATAGGGATGCTGGCCATGCATCTGTAGTGTTTACTACAATGGGATTGCCTCAGAAAACAGTCTGGGAACTTCAGCTGGCCCAAAACAGTGCAGCAATTAAGGACTGGTTAGTGGGCTCCTTTAGACCAGCGTTCTGTGATCCTCACTGGATCCCTGTTCATTTCCAGGCACAATTCAGAGTGCTGGTATTAACTGTTAAAGCACTAAGTGGCTCGGGGCCACTTTGCCTGAACAATCATCTCCTATCCGGTCCTTAAAATCATCTTCAGAGATCCTCACCTCCCCTGGGTGTCCTCACCAAATGAATTGAGGCAGGTGCTACTAGGGAGAAGACCTTTTCAGTGGGGTCACCCTGGTTGTAGAGTGTCCTCCCCAGAAAGACTCACCTGGTACCTATGTCTTACCTGCAGCAGGTGAAGACCTTTTTGTTTTCCCAAGCCATTTGTTTGTCTGTATATGTTTAAATATATCCTTATCTGCTAAAAAGCCATCAGTATGCCATATAATTTTTTTAAACTGCAACAATAAAAATGAGCATTGCAAGCACACCACGTTTTAAAAGCTAAATTAAAGAGCTATGTCTTGGCCAATGAAAGAGATTGGAAGCCAGTCATAATTCTTGAGGAAGTTCATTCCAGGGTTTGGAGACAACACAGCAGAAAGCCCTCTCTGAAGTCATTTCAACTGGTGTACTCCAGTTGCTGGGAAATCTAGGGGGCGGGGCGCTGCTGTTGCACTCATACCCTGCTTGTGGGTTGTTGATGGACAAGCTGGTTGGCCCCTGTGGGAACAGAATGTTGGGGTAGACAGACCCTTGGTCTGAACCAGTGTTGGCTCTTCTTACATGACAAATGGGCCTGTATGGGTAATGGTGCCCTCAAAGGGCCTCTTGTGTAACTCTTAATAGTTGTGCACGTTCATAGCAGAACAGCCAGACCCTAGTGCTTTAAAAAATTAAGAGGAAGAACTTAAATTGCGCTTGAACAGATCTAATATGATCCCAATTCCATATATGAGTTAGCAACCTAGTTGCCGCATTTTGTGCCAAATGAAGCTTCCAGACTCTCTGCAGGGGAAGTTACACCTAGAGTGTAATAGTTGAATCATGATGAAACTAAAACATGGATAACTGTTCCCAAGTCAGACTCAGGAAAGGTTGCAGATGGCCTGCAGTTTTAAAAACGGAAACTTTACTTTAAGAAAAGGGTGACTTTTGTGTTTTACTCTGCTGATAGCTTCTACTGTGGTTTTATTCTCCTTTCAACTTTGTAAAGGTTTCACAATGTATTCTAACAATTTATCTTTTGTGAACTACACAAAGGGCTTTGGCTGTTGGGTGGTAGAGTGATGCAGTTTTTAAAAATAATAAAAATGGGGAACCCATTTTAAGACCAGTGGAAGAAGACATTTGAGGAGGAGTGGGAAGCACCTGTTAACATAGAACACAGTGAAGACAGGGTAGCCTAAATATATACAGAAATGCACATCTCTGTATCAAGTTGCGCATTGGTTGGGCTTAGTTCTCAATGAGGTGATAAATTTGGGTAGAACTGCTTCAAATTGTAGGTGAGGTCTTAGATTGTTGAATCCTTAGGTACATTTTTTAAAACATGGAAAACTAACTTGTCAAAGAGAAACCTAGTTTAGTCTTCAGCCTCACTTGCTAGTGTTCTAAATGGAGGAAATTATTTGTATAGTGGAACATTCACCCATGGTCTGAAGTAGCCTAGAGAAAGGTTACCACCTTATGTTGGAGACAGTTCCACACACACATATCCTTAACACCATTATTAGGCAGTGAGGCAGGCCTATGAAGATTTGGATTGGAACCATGAATAGTATTTGCATTATTTAAAACTCTGCTTTTCTTTTGGGACAGGTGGTGTGGCATTCTATGCAAGAAGAGTTCATACGGCAGTACAAACACTTTGAAGGCTTAATAGCACGTTGTTATCCTGGATCTGGCATTACCATGGAATTTACTATCCAAGACATTTTAGATTACTTCTCCAGTATTGCACAGTCTCACTAATGTCTGCCAAGTGATAAACCATGATAAACTAATTGACTGGGAAGTATCATTAACATTGGACAGTTAAAGAGATGGAATGATAAGGAGTATCCTTAATTATCTTCATGCCTATCCACTGATGGCCTAAGCCATTTGCTTGCTTACTGGATAAAAACAGTGTTAAATCATACATGTTCACATGTAATTCAACCCACCTAGTTCCATGTTGATAAAGCTTTGTATATCGCTAGTACATTGTACATTAAACACTAAACTCATCTGCTTTCCTAAATATCTAGGAATTGTGTGTGTTTTGAAATTATAAATGAGTGAAAGGGTCCTACATTCAAGTGTGTTAATATATGCATCAGTGGGACATCCTGGCATATGTTTCTGAGAATCAATTTTCATGACTATTTGGATATCATTCTGATATGAAGTAAAAAAAATGTTTACAAAGACATTGCTTGCATATGTTTTTTGAGGGAGTTTGAACTCTGCCTGAGCATTGCACAAAGGAACAATTACCATCTGCTTCTACAAATGAGGCTTACAGATATTGTAATGAACTTTTTTTCCTTCTAATAAGCTTACATACATAAGCTGAGGTTTCCTTGGAAACACTGAACATTGTCCAAGAAAAAGAAACTTTGCTCTCTGTTTAGGTTTATCCAAGCAAGTGGGTTTACTAAAGTATGCACATTAGCAATTGCAAGAGAGTGAGTTGAAGTAGCCAGATTATCCCCTGATGAGTGTCTGTGCCTTTAACAGCTAACTTTAAATTTCTTCTGTGCTAGCAACAAAATCATAGGAAAGTACTAGTTTTTTCCTATAGCAAGTATGTAGAAATGATAGGAGCACACCTTTCACATACAAGTTAAGAGGTGGGCTATATAGCTCCCCTGTCCATAGATACTGGTGTCTAAAGGCATTTCTGTAATTTGCTTTTTATATATTTGTTTACAGTACATACTAGTGTAGCTGTGCAAAAGGAAGATGTTTTGTCAACAAGTAGGTACATACAGAAAGTAACTGATACTTGACAGTGAATCACAACAGTGTGGAAAGTAGCTTTCCACCAATGTTTTTCTTTCTTTTTGAAACCATTCTCATTCAATTTGAAAAGAAAGTTTCAGAAAAATTCTCATGGAAGGGGTTCGGGTTTTCTTAGGCTTACTTTATCTAGGAGGCAATCGAGGTGTGTGCACAAACATCTATTTTAAAGAAAAATGTCAATAAATTCTATGTATATAAATATATTCATCAAAATAAGTATGTATTAAATTATTGTATATGAAAATACAATTTACTTGTGATTATAAACAGGCTTCAACAAAAGCAGACCACATGGTATTCTTACACCATCCATTCAAATGTTGAAAGTATTGTAAGGTCCTCAGTATGATCCATTAGAGAAGATGAATGTTTAATCTTTCAATGTTTTAATATCAGTATTTTAGCTGTCGAGGGTGTGGAAAATCTATGCTCACCATTGGTTGATGTCCATTAAATAGTAAACAATTTATGTTTGTTAGATCTATATCCCACCTTTAAAAAACAACAACAAAGAACTCAAAGTGGCTTGCATCATTCTCTTCCTGCTCTCAATCTTATCCTGAGGTAGGCTGGGCTGAGAGTCTGTGACTGGCCCAAAGGAACCCAGCTGGCTCCATGGCTGAGCTTAGACTAGAACCCAGACTGCCTAAATCCCAGTCCCATACTCTTAACCACTACACCACACTGGCTCCAAGAGCATTTAAAAGAGCATGTACATCAACAAATATTAAATATTGTTCCAGTACAAAGTTTATCATATGATACATTCCCCAAAAGTAGCAACTATTAGACATTTCCAAAACGGATGTTCAAAAACTATAAGCTGTATTAAACCATGAGCAATTACTTGGAATTAGACAATTTCTTATGCAAAAGAATTTGTGCTGTCAAATAGATATGAAACAAATATGCTGAATATGCTGCTGCCCAAGATCCACAGACAATAAGTTTAGATGCCAAAGCAGCAATCCACTGACTAGTCAGAATGGAACAATGCAATTCCTCATTCCATTCCTGCCTAAAACCCTTTATATCATAGTTGTTCACCAATTACTAGTATTTATAGATATCATTCATGGGCCACTTTGCTTGACCAGCCTCAAAAAGTGTTTCTTATCATGGCAGAGACTTTGATGCAAGCATTCTATTCAGCCACAGCTGGCAAGTAATAGTTGGTGGGCAAGCCAGAAAATGACCCCCCCCCCTCAAAAAAAAAGAGGCACCAATTGAACCAAAACTAAAAGAACTTTATCTTTCCATGCCTACCACTTGCTTACTAAATGTTAGATCTGTATTGCCTCATAAAGCCCATATGTCATGGTGAATGGAACAGAGTGTAATTGTCATGGCTTTGTGCGTCACACATTTCTTACTGTTGTACTGTGGGAGTATCCCTGTATGATCTTCTAACACCACCCATTTAGGAACCCTCCAAAGATATTCCAAAACTGCCCAAAACTGAAGATCAGATGTAGACGGGAAATATCGAAAGTCAGTATGAGTCAGCAGATAAGCAGGCTATGAGACAAGATCTGAAAAACCAAACATCTTCATTAATTGGAAGATGCATGTAAGCATAATACTGTGCTAAAAAAATTCCCAGCCTTTTTTGAGCATTCACATTCAATCTGATAGAGGATACATTGCTTTTTGAAAAGAAACCAAAAGGAGAAGAAACTTCTGGCAAAATTCTCGTGGGCTTAATTCAGGTTTCTTGCATTCATCTTCCTTAGGTGGCTGAAGGGGATTCAGGCAATCTGGGTTCTAATCCCTGCTCAGCTGAGTGACTTTGGGCCTTCGAGGTTGCAGAGCCACTGAGAAGTGATTAATACTAAGAATACAACACACTAGGTTGCCTCCCAGTAATTAGATATGCTTGAAGGTATAGCGAAAACGATGGGAATGGAAACTTCAAGGAAAAAAGACAGATGTTGGCACGCCAATAGCTCCGCCTTTTCCCCCCATACCGTTCCCTCTCGCTTTGGCAACCAGACTGTCAATCTGCCAAACAAAAACCACGAGGGAACAAAGCCGTGCCACTCCCCTGCCAACGGCAAGCAGCTATCAGAAGCGCTTCGCATTTCGCTTCCTTCCTGAGAAACTCAGTGAAATTATCTCCTCGATTTCTCCGCCCACAGACAGTGCGGTGACTTTTAGGAGGTCATTTGTATAAATGTTAACGGAAACTCTACCGTTTCCACTATCCACGTTGCTGTCCTGCATTCAGTTTTGCTCACAAAACTGTTGCGGTTTTCAACCGGGAAATCTTTTGTCCTTGCAAGCAAAGCAACACATTCACGCAGCAGCTTCTGCTGCAAAGGAGAACGGCGCTTGCTCCGAGCATGCTCATTAGTTCGACCAGAAGATCGGCCCGGGAACACGAGCGGCGACGGATTCCCTCGCCCTTTGATTGGCTCACGCAGTTTTTCCTGGGATGGGCGGAGCGAGGGAGGGGCGGAGGGAGATTCTCGCGAGGCGGAGTTACCGAGAGGAGGCCGCGCACATTTTATTCTCACTGGTGTCCACCTGGGGCCGCTGTGGGGACGCGGGGAGCTTGGTTCGTCGGTTGGTTCCGGACGCTCGCGCGTTTGAACGGTTGCTGGGGCGACGCTGGGCGGAAGAAGCCGACGCTCCGCGCGCCATTTTCAAACCGTTCGCTAGGCCTATCTGGTCACTCTCTAGCCTGGGTTGTGGCAGAGGCAAGAGGAAGGTAGAGTAAGACCGCTCCCGTCTCCAGGACTCGGTGAGTGGTGGTCATGATGGAGACGGCCGGATGCAGTTAACGCTCCGTCTACGTAAGAGAGAGGCCGAGATTTGAGGCGGTGAAGCCCCGTTTCCATGGTGATGGCGATGACGGTAGAGTAATGACGTCATTCCGAAGGACGTCGCACTTGCCTGTCGGGCTTCCTGGGCCTTGTGAACCGGTCGCGTCCGGGAGGCTACTGTCTTGGCGAGGCATCGGTGCCTTCGCCTGCTGCTGTCCCGCAGTGCGCTGAGTTTGGTTTCGTTCTCTTGCTATTGTGTCCAGGCCTACCCCCATAGCTTTCGCTTTGTCGCCTAAGGTACCACTCCCCTCATTTAAACCCCTTTCCCATTCCAAGCCGCCTTCAGGTATTTCTGCCGCCTCCACAAGCAATTCATCTGCCAGCCTTGCCCTTTCTTTTCTTCTCTACCCTAGCGCAGTTTAACGAAAGGCCCTGTTTCACATAGTAAAACGTGGTGAGCCAGCTCTAGAGCATTTGTCCTCTTTTGCTCATTCTTCTGAAGGAATTCTTCGACTTTAGCTTTCCCCATGCTATACCACCTATCCCATTCTTATTACAGTGTTCAAAAGATACTAATTTTTCAAGTTTTAAAGAAGTGGTTTTAGCAAGTCTCGTTACAGGGGCAATTACTGTTGCTATGCATACCTATCAGGTTTGGTTTGCTTTGAACGCTTTCTTTACTCCATGAACTTAAGTGTGGTATACATTGTGTGCATCCTCTCAAGTTCTATCTTCACAGCAACTTGGTGAGGAAGTTTAATTTGAGGCAGTGTGGCTGGTCCAAAGTCTCCCGGTAAGCAAACAGAGTGATAGAAATCTAAGATGAGTCTACTCAGTTGACCTTATGGTAACTATTTTTGGAATATTTGTGGACTGTGCTTGCTTAACATATGCACTCTCCCAGTCTTACATGCAAAAGTTGCTAGTGTATAATGAGTTTGTACTTAAGAGGAGCTTATGTTTTTCTTTCTGCCTCTGATATGATGCCTGGCTATACCTTATTTAGGAACTTGGTCTGGTCAGGTGCTTGGAACCTATCTTTCAAGTAGCTTCAAGCTTGCAGCTACCTCTGCCCCTATCATGTCTTCCTAGGTAAAAAAAATGTGCCTGAGATGCCAGAATACCACACTAAACTCTGCCATGCCTTATCCAAGTGCTAGAGAGCAAGGGACTTGTTCTTGCATGTATATATTAAGTTGCATACCCATGTATATGTTTTTAAATTATCTACAGATCTCCATTTTTAGCTGAAACCCCCACCAAATATCTTCATAATGAGTACAGCTGCAGAGCGAAAGTTCATTAATCTAAGGAAGCGGTTGGATCAGCTTGGATACCGACAACCACTGGGAGTGGAGAGTTTACCTTTGGTGGAAAAGCTTTTTAGGTATTGAGAAAACAGTGAATAGAAAAAAATCATGAGTACAGTTAGAATATATGACACTGATGCAAAACTGGTCTTGTGGAACATTCTGATATTTTATTAACATCATGACTGGTCTGGGGTTAGTGCAAATATTTGCACTCTAAGCTATGCTGTTAAAAGCCTGTCTAAAACAAATTCAGTGGTTTAGAATGCAGGGTTGTGTGCCATGCTTAGAAAAACTCTAATATTCTAGAACTCTACAAATGCAAATATTTCTGTGACAGAAAGAAATCTAGGAGAATATTCTACTCATATGAAATTTGAGGTAACGAATCAACCAGGGCAAGAGTTTATACATTATTCCTGTTATCTATATTATGCTTTACTATGGAAAAATAGATTTTGAGCATTCATAAATGAGGTCTTGCAACATTAATCTTGGAAAAGGAAGGATGCTGTCTGCCCAACCCCTTCCCACCAAGGTTTCCCACCCTTGAAAGATTTATGTTTAAGATTTCAGTCTATGCATAATAATCTTCAAAATGCAGGCAAACATTTCATTTATATCTGAGTTTTCTACCAGAAATGACCCTTAAGGAAGTTAGATGGTTTAAATTTAGTTTCTAGCATTTGAGAGGCATCTTCCCAAAAAAATACTTCAGTCTAAGAACACTGGTTTTCAAATTTACTTCCCTTAGGGTTCCGTCATTATGTTGACTTGATTGGGAGAACAAGCTTTGTTTATCTGCTGTGACCATTGAGTGTACATTCAGTTCACATTGGAAGGTTTGCATAGAAAGTAACCCTTATAACAAATTCGCCTTTGAAGTTGCATATTCTCAGGAACCTGCCTTTAGGGAAAGTTGTTCTTCCTTATTGTTCTTCTCACTGAAGACGCTCAAACTGAGAACTTAATCTGAAAATTCTGGGCCATGCCTCCACAAAACTGCTTGCCAGCTTATTAGGAAACCTAACCCTAGTAATGATTTATCCTCATCATGACTTTAGCTCAGGAAAATATGAGCTAGTCTCGAGGTAGGTGTGTGATGTTCTTCTGCCTAGAATTTGATATGTAGGGCAGTCACCTTTCCATGCATAAATAACTTAAAGGAGAGAGCTCAGTAGGGTCTGAAGTGATTGTAGTGATTATGATTACTTAAAAAACCAAGCAGAATCTGCTGTGCTCTGGTCTGTAGTGATTGAAGCAGAGCATTCAGGGTGTGCATTAGTCCATTACAGAACTTATCCCTAATTTGCTGTCCTTGGATTTCAGTGATCTTGTTCATACAACTGAGAGCCTCCGGAGTGCAAAGTTATCTGCTGGAAAAATTGAAAAAGAATATAGTAACTTTGATGTTGTTTTGGAACCTTATCGAGAAGAAAATGCTAGGCTCACCCGTGAAAATAATGAACTACATTTAGAAGTTCTGAAACTGAAAGAGCAATTGGAACAGCGGGTTAAAGGTAATATGAAAAATGTTAATGCTTTGTTGTCTGATCACACCAATCTTATCTCTGACATTACACTTAAGTCCAGGGATCAGCAGTGTTTACCTTTGCCCTCTTCCCAGGTTCCAAGCTCATGAGGAAAAGGGCAGCTGGTGGCACTTCAGTTTGTTGTGTGCAGTTCTGAAGTTTCTTGTCATGAGAAAGAGAATGAAAGAACAATCTCAGTGTTTTATACGTAGATATCAAGCACACATTTAGTGGCCAACTCAACATGGAAAGCTCAGTCTTCCTCTTCTGAAAAGGCCAGAATGTCACTGAAATTTTTTGGCAAAGTGGGCAGACCCTGAAGTAGCCCTAGTATTCTAGAGACAATTTGTTTTCACCTGGCATATGGCAATTTGCAGCTTTACAACACCAATTTATGCTTAACATTAACCATGGACAACATCAGTACTGCAATTGTACTCCTATTCAATCAGTTGTGCAAATGGGACTCGCATTTCACACAATAGAAAACCAGTGGTTTTAAAAGCAACCCCAAAAAGAAGTGGACATACTTGTTTATGGATTGGAATCAATCAGCAGAATTTCCTTCTGCCCCTTTCTGGCAACAGGTGTTTCTGTTAGTTTTCGGCTGGTTTTAGAGCAGCTGGTACTCTGTTGTGGAACTGGTCCTGCAGGCAGGCTGGGATACTGCTCCATGTATTCAAACTGCTTATTGTACTTTGTTCAAATACAAACTGTTGTACTGTTCAGTATATTGATATATGTTTTCTCATGTGATAGAATTTTGCAATTTGAAGAGTTTATTTTTGTTTTAAAAATAAAATTGTTATCACTCATGTCTTTATTTTTGTATTATATTTTCTGTTTTCTTTAAATGACTTACTATGATCTGAGAAGTTGGAAACACTAGTAATAATTTTATTATGGAGCAATTCTGTAGCCTCTAAACAATATCTGAGGGGTCATAACATATGATGGAGCAGCACCTGGAATGGTCGTTTCTGCTGGCTCTGAGAAAAAACTGGACTTCTGACTCCTAGCTCCAAGGTCAGAGTGCTATCTCCAGACATACAGCTCAGAATCATCAAAGCATTTTGGTGGGTGGACAGGAAAGAAAACTGGAAAAGGATGGACATAAGCTATCCTGAAGTCTCTTCTGCTTCTTTCTCTTATCCTCCAAAATGCTCAACAGACAAAATGCAGGCAGGAGGATGGGGGAGGCAAATACTGCTTTCTCCTTTATAAACAGTTATGAGTCTCCAAGTTCAGGGGCATTCAAGCATTGAGGGAGCAATAGGATTGTGCTTTTAAAGACCTAATTGAATGCAAATTTGCATACGGATTATGGGAATGAAACCAGTACTCCTACTAATTGGTGCCCGAAAATAAAAATGGTTTAGCTTCCCCATCATGCTTGTCCAACAATCTCTGAACCAGATCTTAAACTGTAATAAGAAATGTTAAACCAGAGGAGTTACAGTTTTCTAAAGAGAAAGAACAGAAAAATAATTTACTTATTCATTAGGCTGTCCCAAATGGTATTTCACTGGAATATGCTTAGCAAAACATTGGTCTCAGTTTGTATTGTGTGTATGTATGTGTGTGTTTCAGCCACATCACTTTAAACTGATGAGTGATTAGCATACAATGATTCTGGTGGTTGTGGGAACAGGTACTGAGTTGCATTTCAAAGAAAGAAGCAGCTGAAAGGCAAGTGGAGGCATCCAGTGTATGTATGTTTGTACTTCTGCGCAGAATGAAATGCCGTTTGAACTGGTCCTTATTCCTGTCATTGTATAGTCAAAATAGAAATGAATACTGTTGAATGTCTCTTTTTCTTACTTAAAGATTTGAAAGTTACACTGAGGAAACTTGAACATGAAAATGCAGATATGAAGTTTCTGAATAACCAATATATACATAAAATTAGATCATTAGACAAGGAAAATAAAGCCAAAACTGAAAAGATCCAACAGCTCCAGGAGAAAAATCTGCAAGCAGTGGTTCAGACACCAGGTACAGCATCTGATTATGTGATCATTTCTAACCTGCTACCTGTTTGCTTACTAGATTCTGCACCCACATACTGAGGATTAATAATTGAGTTTATTTTTTTTAAGAAAAGTAGAGAATTAAAAGTTCAGTAAATACGTTAGTTACTATTGCAAAGAGAGTACTTTACATATGTATCCCTTTTCAGTTTTTTTCAGCCAAAGCTGATGTGAAAACCTGCCACAATGATACGAGTTCTGTGTGAATAATAGAACAGTGTTACCTACAAAGAATTAAAAGATTGGGACACATAATTTGTCAGTATTTTATAAGTAGTAAAGGTTTGCCTTTGTGCTCTCAGACAAAGGCACGTCCAGGCTTTCACTAGCTTTAGCCATTTTGTATACAGTTCCTAGGCACTGAATATTCTACTAATGTAAATTTTCTTTCTTTTTTTTTAAGAATTCCACTGAGTTCAGGGGGATTTATTCTTGAGTACATGTTTTTAATATTAAAGTGACAGGTTATTTTAAAAGAAATGCAAGGACATATGAAATACTAAGTACATATTAACACTATTTTATGTATACAATCATTCTTATTTCCACACCAGTATGATAAAATTGATTCATATTCTCGATTATACATCATTTTAATGTTTTATATCAATGTAGCACACACAATTGACACAATTTCATGATTTTCACTAAATATATTATTTAATTTGTTATTCACATAATTAGTCATCAATGACATGGCGTATATGCTCTCAATGAATAAAAGGTTCATTTCAGAAAATTCATAAAAACCTGTAATTCATTATTTTTGAGAACATGTTATGCTCCATTTGATATTGAAGTTACATATAGTTATCTCTTTAGGTGGTAGGAAAAGAAATATTCCATTCAGGAGACAACGTATGCAGATTGATCAACCAGTACCTCCATCAGGAATTGGTGCCTATCCAGTTCCTCAGCCTGATGATCCATATATTGCCGATCTTCTGCAGGTGGCAGACAACAGGTGATTGTGTCTTAAAATTTTGAAATACTGGTTATGCTACTTTAACGTATTATACATTTGAAATAGTCTCCAGCCTTTACTGTTTTTCCTTTTACAGATATGAATTGTTTACTACTAATTGTTTGTAAAGTGCTATTTATGTTTTTCTGTGTGAGGGTGACAGGCAGCTCAATCCTACAGAGGTTTAGAAGAGTTTGGTAGAAGAACTGGCCTCTGGTGGCAGAACTGTTTCTGTGACTGCAAAATTCTGTAGTTTCTGTGACTCCCTCTTGAATTTTATTCTTAAAAAATAGAGGAGCCTGTAACATTGTTATGAGAGCTTCAGATACTAGTTGTTATAGAAATGTGATACACTTCTAAGACCAAGATAATTATTGTATATTGTCAATCGTATAACAATGGATTAAGGATATATTCCTTTTGAGAGCAGGCATTCAGTGCAGAGTCACCTCTCCTTTCTCCCTCTCAGCATTTTCACTAGAACGGCCTTTTTAAAAATATCCTGGCCATCCCAGTTTCTTCCCCTCCTTGCCCTCAGAATGCCCCTCTTTTTGGTTGATTCTCCAAACTTGTAGAGCAGTCAGCATGGTTCTTTTTGTGTTGATTATATGGGAAGGGATCCAGTTCCCATCTCTGTGTTCAGATTACTGTCTCCACCTTCAGAGCTGGAAATCCAAAGAACTGCATGGCTCCTCAAGCACTATCTAGGGGTTATAGGACTGTTTCATAAAACTATTAATTTGTTTTAATTTATATTTTTACTGAATGTTAAATTAGGAAGTTAAGTGGATTTTACTAGATATTTAGGTGTATGGTACTGTGTATTTTTTTATACTTGATTTATGAGTAGAAAGCATTCTACTGGTTTTATTTCATTTCCATATCCTTCCAAATGCATGAAAGCAACTTACTGACTTTTAGTAATCTCAAATGGCTATCAAACAAATAATGAGAAAATTTTCTGTAGAAAATATTTTATTGAGTGTAGAATTTCTGAATGAATTATTCAAATAAAATATTTCAGAATTCATGAACTGCAGTTAGAAGTGGCTGACTTGCAGGAAAAGCTAGAAATAGCTGAACGTGGAATGAAAAATTACAGCAAACAGGTAAACTAATATTTCAAAGAATGCTACTGTAGTCTGTATTTGTGTTTTGTATTGTTGGAGATGTGTTAATAGCAACATACTTTGTTTGGAAAATTATGGAACTTGGCATTCTGGATCTCTCTACCACAGCTTACCTCAGTATAGTGCCACATAAAAAGAGAGGCAGGAATTAAGATTCTGCCTTGTTATCAGTGAAATTCTTTCTCACTTCATTGCTCTTCTCTGATACTTGGCTGGGCTTGTATGTTGCTTATATACTTGCAGGGCCCTTAGAAGATTATATAATAATGGAAGCATTGAAGTATTTCATACTTTCTCCTCTCCAAACACCAGCCCCATGTCTTCCTTTGCTAAATGCAAAAGTCATGAGCCAAAGTGTTAGCATTGGCACTAAAGAATTTTTAAAAATAATAATTTTGTCTTAAAGGTTGAACTGCGAGACAGTGAGATTGAACGTTTAGCACTAGCAATGAATGGTGGTCGGTCTCATGAAGCCATATCTCTGGAAGCCAAAAGCAGAAGTAATGAAAAAATAATTGCTCACTTAAATTTGCAGGTAACATGCTTTAGTCTCTTTCAGTTTGTAGGCTCAGAAAACTTGGAGAGTTTCCTTAGCCCCTGAAACAACTTGAGTGAAGTGCTACAGGTCCAAAATATTTTGAATAAATGCTATGATCCAGAGTAGTTATTTCATTTGTGAAATAACTGTTGGCAGTGCTCTGACTTGACTTGTAGTTTTTGTTTTTGCAGTGGCTGAAGAGGCAAGCTACTTTATTATAAACTGAATTACATACATTGCAGTTGGAGCTGCTTTAACAAAAATAGCAAGAATGCTTTTATTGCATATCCAGACCTCTTCTGTGCATCTAAACTTCATGCCCACTCATATGTTTTTCCTTTTCATGCTTGCTTCCTTGCTGCAAATTAACAAAACATTAGTAATATTAATGAAAAGTGTTAGTGTTGCTCTTAAATTCATAGCTTCTTCAAAGTTTTGGGAACTAACTGTATGACTTATGGCTTAAAGCAATTTATGTATAACATTAGCTCTTTGGCACTCATAGTTTTCATGCATTAATTAGAACAGAAAATACTGTAATTGTTAATAATGGAGTGTTCCTTGAGTACTAATGAGTAAGCACCATTCAGATGTAAATCAACTTTTACTGATTTATTAACCTGAAACATTTTTGTGTGGTTTTAATATCTATTTTAGGTTGAATTCCTGCAGCAGACCAACAAAGAGCTTGAAATGCGCATACAGGATCTTCTGGACAGTAGACAAAATGTGACTAGTGAGGTCGTTCAATTAAGTAATAAGAATGAAGAACTGTGCCAAGAATTGAGTGAAATAGATCACTTGGCCCAACAGTTGGAAAGGCACAAAGAAATTGTACTTGAAACTGCAGATAAAGAAATTGGAGAAGCTAAGGTAAGAGAATTTGGTAGCTTGATAGAACATCAAGAACATTTTCTACCTGCCTGTGAAAATGAGTTAAAACTGTTTTGAGGACATTTTCTCTTATATCTTAAATTTCATGAAGTATGTGGAAGATTTGTTTTAATCACATTGCTGAAGTGCAGTTACTCATTAATATATGGCCAAATTTTTGTGTAACCTTATTATATATAAATACACATTTTAGTACTTGGGTTTTCATAGTTTGTTGTGTATTAAAATATTTGCAACTTTATAGTGATAGCTGGTCTGTTCATTAGTTCAAGAAATTCTGGAACTGAGTAACATTTTATGGGATTTCCTATCTCCTACTGCCTCCTATGAGGAATCTGCTTCTTCACTGGACAGTTATCTATGAGGTCTCTGATTTATAGCAAATTCTTGTATTTCTGGGTCCAAGGAACTCTTTGCCACTATAACTCAGGGTTCCAGAAGGTGATCCTTTCTGCTGCCACCAGTTCTCTCTAAATACTTGAGAATCTCCTAGCAGCTAATATAAACCCCTTGGGTATAAGACAGGTACCAACACCAGAGACAAGTTGAAAAGAGAAACAGTACATTTAATAAAAGGTTATTTGTGGAGAGGCCAGGGAAGTTTGAAAGACTACTTACTGACACTTCTTTAGGATGCAATAGACACTGTTGCTATTGCAAACCCTTAAAAACTTCTTTTATCTCGGGCCAAATTCATTTAACCTCTATTCCATTCAAATACTCTTACAATCAGGTTCAAGCATTGAGGTACACCTTTCTTTTGACACCCAAGCTCCTCCAGTTGCATTACTGGATGCTTGGTCAGTTGATCTGAATTTTAACTGCCTGTTTGTATAATTGCTCTGGCAAGATTTTTAGGGCCACTTGTTGGCATAACACACCCAACTCTTTGCTAATCCTGATGTTCACCACCCATCTATGGTTGTCCACAGAGAAAGAATAGCCATTCCTTTTCTTGTTAGGTTCTTCTGAATCACTGCACACCAACCAGCACAAACTAATCTGGAATTATCTCCTCTCATCTGTCTATCTTAACTGTCATTTCCCACTGCTCCCCAACCAATCAGACTAGGACCTGACCCCATCTCAGAATATTTGAAGTGATGTCTCTCCATTTTCAAAATGTTCCTCAGCAACTGCTAGAGGAACATTTTGTTTGCCTTTACCAAAGAAAAACGAAACTTAAGTCTACTACTCATTTATGTTATTGCTTAGAGAAGACACATAGCAGATGTACATTTTCTTGTTTTTTCTTTATAAATTATGTGAATCAAAGGTTTAAACAATTTTCAGCTATAATATTAGGTCCCTCATTGGGCTTTATATGTTTCACATGCGTACATATTAAAATGTAATATAGAAAAAATAATTTGTGTTATGTTCACCTTGTATCATGACTTCTTTATAGATATCCTTATTTTTTTTAAAAAAATACTGTTTATTATTTATAGGAAGAAATAAAGAAAAAATACAGTGAAATCCAAGATCGTGAAGAGACTATAGCAAGGCTTAAATCAGTTAGTATCACTGCTTCTTAAATGAATCTAGTTTTTGTTAAAGAACTTGGCTATTACAAAGACAGTTGTATCTTAATAGCAGTACTACTTGTTGATACTAATCTCTGTTGTAGCAGATTTTTAATGCATAAATATAGCACATGAAAGATAGCACATGAACTACTCAAACTCTTTATTTCAAAGTAGTACAAATAGAATCAGCACATACCACAGCTGAGGGTACAGTTAAAACCCCCTTGATAGCTTGCTCTTAGTGGTACATGGGTGATGATGTCCTGGTTTCAGTGATCCATTCTCTAGTCACACCCCATCCCTGCTACTTATTTTATTCCTCCTGATACATTTTGAAGTTGTGCTTTTAATATAGCCTCTCTTTTGTACTATTGAATTGCTACTGCTGTTTTTAATAATTAGTTTTTAATTGATAATATGATTCTTCCTATAATTTATTTTGAATATCTCTGAGAGCTTTGGCTACAGAATGGGTCATAAATGAATTACATACATATATAAAAACTCAAATTGCAAGTTGTCTTGATTAAAAGAAGGAGTGTGTTTGTGGATCCTCTGCTAAGGAACATTATTGTTTTTACATTGCTTGGACATGGTTTATGAGAAATAGTGAATAGGGTCACATGCAATCCATCATGGGTAATTAGCCACTGTGGATTGTCTTATATGAACCTGGACTGCTTCAGGCAATGTTGGTTGTTTTCCCTTCACAAGTCACTCTGACAAATTTGTTTTACTAGTTCTAGAAACCATGATGGGTCATTGTGTTGTCTGAACCCATGCAACTTGACACCATCATGGGTTGTGGGAAGCAAGAGCAGCAAAGCCCTTGCTGCTCCTGCCAAATGTGCCCAAGGCACCACCAGTAGCATTCATTCCACCAAGTGCCCAAGAGGTAGAACTGTCACTGGCTTTTTCTCCCTAGTTCTGAGCATGTGCCCTTCCCCCCCTCTTTCTTTTTTGGAGGGGGAGGGGTTGCCACAACCATTTCCCCTTTTTCTGGTGAAATCATTTTTCATGATCTCTGATGTCACAGCCCCTGCAAAATGCTCAAACAGTATATCAGCGATTTGGTGCTACCTTTAGATGCGTCTCTGCGTGTGTCTGAAATATGTGCATATGTTCCTGTTAAATTTTCCTTTTAATTGACAGTATTTCAGAACTGTGCAACCCTATCCAAAACGTAAAGCCTTGCCTGTTCATTGTCTTGCTTGGTACCTGCTGTCAAAACAGCCAACATCAGTGAATGTAAACAAAGGTAGGCTTCAAATATGTTACTTTGCTTTCACTTTACAACTGTCAAACTGCAAGCTGTCAAGCACAAAGACACACTACAAAAAGACCTTTTCTTGCTGCCAAGGGGGATGATCAACTTGCCACGTTCTTTCATGACATCCTCTAGGTTTTAAAAACCATGTTTAGCCTTGTGAAAAAAATCCTCTTTTTAAAGAAACTTATAACATTTACACCTGTCAAAAGTAACAGCCCCTGCAAATAGGATGGATTATTTTTTTTCCATATTGCCAAGCATTCAGAAGCTCAGGAAAAGGTGGAGGACCCTGACAATGGTCTGGTCCAAACTTAATACCTAACGGATGTCATTTGGAAGATCATCTTGCAGCTTTGCTTTTCTTTTGACAGCTACCAAATGATAGCAAAGTAACTTATTTAAAGCCTGGCTTTGTCAGTGTCCATGACTGTTGCCTAGTTTTGTAGTAGGTGCTTATCAGGACACTGACCAAATAAAGCTTCAAGTTTGGGGTAGTTGGTGTTGTGTGCTTGGACAACTCTGAAATATTAACTCTTTTTTTAATTTAATGACAGCATTTGGTACCAAAAGAAGAAAAGAAGGTGACAAACCAGTCATAACTGCTTTGATGTGTTGTTTGGGTACTTCGGAGGGGCTTTCATTGACTGTTTCATCATAGCTTGCAAAAGCAATCTTTAAAAAATGGGGGAAACTGTAGTGACCACAAAAAGGGTCACCATCAGAATGGAGAGAAGAGACAAGAAGGGTTCTATCATTGTGTTCCCTAAGATACTTGTAGGAGGCCCAAGTGGCAAGGAGGGCAGGGGTCAAGCCATAATGAACCATATCATCATGGAACAACAACAGAGTGGGTTTCTGTGTCATGTGAACTCACCTGGATTTGATGTAGACAGACACATACCATACAACTTGCCAGATTTGTCTTGGTAGAAATGATGTCAACTTGAAAAAGCAGTCTCTGTCATTCCCAGCTCTGGAATAAAACACTAAGTGGTCTGAATGTTTTCCATTAATGTAGATAGTCCATTACTATAAATTATTCTAAGTTTTGCCATTTTAACTCACAGATTCAGAACTTAAGGGCTGGGGACTAGATCTATCCCCCTAGGGTTTATGTTCCATTTTCCCAGCCATCAACTCTTGGGTGGCTTCCCAGCCATTATGCAGCATTTTCGCCATGATAAAAAGTTGAAATGTCTCTGTTATGGTTTAGTTACTGAAATGAAGAGCTTTAAGCCAAAATATACCAGCATTTTGGGGGAAATTATCTTGTTCCATCTTTCCCACCCATGACATTGAAAGATGGTTAGAATTAAGGTGTATGTGTCATATATAAGTGGAAATAGGTATCTGACATAATTGAAATTTAGCTTCTCGTTGTTATTGTACTTAGGATTCTTAACCTCATGCAATATTTATATTATTTCAGGAGCTATCTTCATATCATAGGGAAAAAGATAGGCTGACTGAAGAACTGTTTGGAAAAGCAGAGGAAAAACAAAATCTTGAGCTGTTGTTAAACCAGGCTCAATTGGAGAACCATAGACTGGCCAAAAAACTTGAAAACTTTGAAATTATAGGTAAGCATTTAAGGAAACCCATGGAAAATGGAGTTATTTCCAGCCCTAAGACCAGATAGTGTGTACCTAAGCTTGTTCATGTATACCCCCACCCTTAATTCACTGCTAAATTGCTTAGGTGCATCAGTGACAACTTTGCCTCTGACCTTTTTCCCTTAAGTGCTCTCTCTGAACTGTGGTGCTTCCCCTGATGAAGCATTGCCATTTTTCATTTGAGTGGTACTACTTAAAGTTAGTATCTTAAAACAACTTGCTTATTTTCCAGCAGCATTTTTCAGTTGTTCAATTTAATACGAAGTAGTGCTAGAGCTGTCTAATCAGTTACATCTCATCTGTGCAGTTTGTTCTCTTTTGGATGTGCAGCTTTTTTTGTGTGTGGTTGAATATTTATTTGGATCTACACAGTGTTTTTAAATACGACCTGCAAAGCATGAGGGATATTTTGTTCACTCTTTCAAGTTGATAACAACTATACTGAATGCTGTGATCAGCCTATCTAGTCTCACTGAAAAGATGAATATCCTAAAAGGTAGAATAAAATATATTTAATTATAATACACTGTACTTAAGCAGAATGCATTCTGGTTCTGACAGTTGCCAGTCCCATATAGTCCAGCCCCAAAATTGCAGTATCCTGAGAAGATGTTACAGTTGACATAATGAAAAATACGTTTTTGCAACTGCATGCACATGTCAAAATGTGTTACTCTGGGAGGCAAAAATGGAAGAATTAATTAGTAAGGCTGACGTTTTTATCAGGGTTTTAATCGGCTAAAGCTTGATTTAAAAGGTACCAGTTTTAATCCATGACACTGTGAGTCAAGCACAGACTTGTTCTTTTTAGGCTGTTTATGTTCTGGAATGTGGTTATATTGAGAAATGAAAAGGTGTGTAATGGAAGATGGTTTTCTGTTTTGTAAAATTCTAGTTATCTTGCACATTTCAAGATTACAAATAGGCAATTACACTGGGGATTTCATATGTTATATTTAAAATCTGTTCATATATGAATTGGTGAAAAGGCAAATTTATCAGTTAAAAATGTTTGATCAGCTCTAATAAAATAGGACAGCTATTTTGAACAATGATAGTAGTAGAATTAATGGCAGAAAGTGAAGAGGAACTAAAGAGCCTCTTGATGCAGGTGGAGATCGCAAAAGTTGGACTGAAACTCAGCATTAAGAAAACTAAGATCATGGCATCTGGTCCTCTCACTTCCTGCCAAATAGATGGGGAAGAAGTGGAGGTAGTGACAGATTTTATTTTCCTGGGCTCCAAAATCACTGCAGATGAGGACTGTAGCCAAGAAATTAAAAGGCGCTTGCTCCTGGGGAGGAAAGCTATGGCAAATCTAGACAGCATACTAAAAGGGAGAAACTTCACCCTGCCAACAAAAGTGCGTGTAGTCAAGGCTATGGTTTTCCCAGTTGCAATGTATGGCTGCGAAAGCTGGACCATATGGAAGGCTGAGCACCAAAGAATTGAGGCCTTTGAATTGTGCTGCTGGAGGAGACTCCTGTGAGTCCCCTGGACTGCAAGGTGATCAAACCGGTCAGTCCTAGAGGAGATCAACCCTGACTGTTCTTTAGAAGGCCAGATACTGAAGATGAAACTCAAATACTTTAGCCACCTAATGAGAAGGAAGGACTCCCTGGAGAAGAGCCTAATGCTGGGAACAATAGACAGCAAAAGAAGAAGGGGACAGCAGAGAATGTGGTGGCTAGATGGGGTCACTGGGGCAGTTGATGTGAGCTTAAGTGGACTCTGGGGGATGGTGGAGGACAGGAAGGCCTGGAGGAATGTTGTCCACTGGATTGCGATGGGTCAGACACAACTTCGCGACTAGCAACAACAGTGGTAGAATCTGTCTGAATCCAAGCCTTTAGTATTTTTCCTGTCTGTGTAAGGGATTTTGAATGGAAATGGAAAACTTGCAAAGGAACTTGACCTTTACAAAGTCCATAATGACTTCTTAATTAATTGTAATAAATAAAATATCACTTATGCTTTAATTGTAGACTTTGTTCATGCTTATCAGTTACATTCTCCTACAGATCGGGAACTTGTTAAAGAACTAGAAAGAATGAGATTAGAAGGTGGCATAGCACTTGGAGACAAATCACCTTCTCGACTAGATGCATTTATAAAGACGATTGAAGAGGACAGGGATTACTACAAGCGAGAACTAGAATGTCTCCGGAAGATGCTTAAACGAAAATCTAGCCCATTACGCAGATCCCCAGAAAGGGTAATGTTTATTTTATTAAGTATATTGTTTCTTTAATAATCTCATATACAAAGTTTAGAAACTCCTTGACATGAACTTTTACAAGGTGTAATAGTTTACAAGATCCTTATAAATAAGCTCACAACTGTTACTAGTATACTGGGTCTTGCAGAGGAGATGCAGATTATTTCTCTCCTTCTCCTTCAACTGCCTGCTGGATTTCTCCAATGGAGATGGAGGAGGGAATTCTTTTGCATTTATTTTTATTATTTTCTTAACATAAACAGAATACAGAAAGAAGAAAAGTATGTATGTATAAAAGTAAAATAAAGATTTCAAGGGATTTTGAACAAGTAAAACCAATACATTCAAGACCTGTGGAAACTCAGAAAAAAAGGGAATTATTATTCTGTACACCAACAAATTTTCCAGTCACTTTAAATCAATTATACATCTTCAACTACTTTTTAAAAAGCTCCATTTTACATCCCATTAATTGTACTGGAGATAATAGAATTTCCATATGTCATTAAATTATTCAATTCTCCTTTCAATCTTGAAATCGGTGATAAGCAAACCACTGTATATTTTTCCATCTTTTAGTTGTTGGCAAGATTTGACTCATCTTTGTTGATCAATCCATAAGTTATAAAATAATTTTCCTATATGCTTTAACCAGGTCCATGAGAGGAGAGATTGGAGAACTATTTTTTTTCTCACAGAATACCAAATCTTTATTAGACTGTCTCTTAATGCATGGTTTTTATTTAATATCAGGGCCTTTTAAACTAACTCTTTAACTCATAAGAGGTTGTGTATTCCATCGTCTAGATCTTTTATTTCTAACTTCACTTGCCTATCATTAGCATTTATAATCCAATCTGCAATAAAAACCAGACCAGCTGCATAGAAGTACAGTGGTGCCTCATAGTTCGAACAACTAACCTTGAATAATCCAGAGTTTAAACATTAAAGTTAAGATAAAATCACTCCACAGTTTGAATGACGCTTCTAAGTTCGAACTGCAAGTGAAGTGAAAAAAATGCCGTTGAGCACACAACCGATGATGTTTTTGCTGCAAGTTGGAAAAAAAAACCGTTTAGGTCCCTAATCTTGAATCGTCTTGATTCAATTTAGGACATGGAGGCAACCATGACAGCGCTGGGGTGTGTTCGAAGCGAGGGGGAGTATTTTGAGGGGGATTAATGGTAATGTATCTTTTAGTGTAATAAACATTCATCATAATTTTTCATCACACCTTGTATATAACCTCAAACTTAATTCGTTTCAGGAGGCTGTATTGCTTTTTAAGTTTACTGAAATGGGTATTATTTAGGGTCTGGGAATGGGTTAATTCACTTTCCATTATTTCTAATAGGGAAAATTGCTTCGGACTTTGAACGATTCAAAGTTCAAATTGCCTCCTGAAACAAATTAAGTTTGAAGTACAAGGCACCACAATATAGCTTTAAGATAGGTACTGCAAGGCCTCCTCTCTCCTTTTTGTCCTGAAGGATTTTAAATCTAATTCTTGGCTTTTTGTCATCCCAAATAAAGGTATTTAGTTGTCTTTGTCAGTCTTGGAGAGTGTTTCCTCGAGACCGAGTTCTTTTGATGGTGAAATATATTGCTGGTTTACACTAACACTCTATTACTAAGATATTAGTAGTAGTAATTAGTATTAGTAGACATTAGAATAGTTATAATAGGAATGAGACAGGCAGCATTCTCAAGTATTCAGGGTGTTGACTGAATTATAAATGCTATATAAATGAGGGTAAAGCTGAATTTCTCAGAACAAGTTCCATGCTTCAATATGAGTTGGTATGATGTTAGTCTTTAGTAGTACTGTGATACCATGTGTAGCCCATTCCTATGTAGTGGTCATCCATCCTCAACTTTTTCTCTGGAACAGTAAGTTGCAATTGAGTCAATGGTGTGTCACATCTAAGTGTCTTCTTTGGCACTGTAGTGCTCACTCTGGTGTCTGATATGCTACGAAGCTCTGTGCTATAAAACCAGTTGAATGTTAGCTGGATTGCTATTGTTGTAAGACTTGAGTGCAGACAACTAAGCAAGCCCCAAGAGCACATAATTCTGCAATCTATGTTGTGATACTACCTCATTTCAGCATGTAACATAGGCAGGCTAACTTGGTGGGTCTGGAAGCTAAAAAGCTCACAGCCAACCTTGCCACCACCTTGCAAAAAAGCTCTATTTCTCCTTTAAAACAAGGTGTGCTGTGAGTGTGCACCTTGCTTTAAAGGCAATGTATGTTTTTGCTGCCATACTTTCAAAGTTTAGTTGCAGTTCAGTGTCAATATCACCTTCAGGAATAGCAGGGTCTAGGAGTGGGGGAGGGTGGTTCATGCAGCTTGCAGAACCCTTGTTGCCCTCCCCTGATATAACACCTATGCTAATGGAACTGCACTGGCTGCCTTGTTGCTCTTGAGCCAGTTCTAAGTATCTGTTAGTACATCTTAACAGGAATAGCCTGACTTCAGTAGCCTGTGCTCTGGTAATCTCTAAAGTATATTATTGCAATGCACTCTGTGTAGGACTGCCCTTGAAGATGGTTCAGAAGCTGCAGCTGGTACAGAATGTGGCAGCCAGATTAATAACTGAAACCCACACGTCTGAACATAATAGACCAGTTCTGGCCCACTTGCACTGGCTACCTGTATGCTTCCAGTCCCAATTCAAGATGCTGCTTTTAACTTATAAAGCCTTAGGACCACAGTCCTATTGGAGCTTCTCTTCCAATTGCAGTACATAGTCAATATATTCATCCTCTGGGACCTTCCTCCGAGTGCCAACTCCAAGGGAAATGCAGAGGCTAGCAACAAGAACGAATGCTTTCTAGGTGGTGGCTCCCCATCTATGGAATAACCCCCCCACTACATTCCAGCTGGCACCCAATCTGTCATCTTTTTAGTGCCAGCTTAAGATGGCCCTCTTTTCTGAGGTGATCAGGGTCACAGAGTCACTCTTTCATTATTCTTTGTTGTTGTCTGCTTTATCATCTGTTTTAGCTGTTTTGAACTTTTACAGTACAATTTCTGATTTTATGATAGTTTTATTGTATTTTTATCTTCTTTTTTATGGACTGTGTAAATTGCCCAGACAACCTCCTGCTGTGGGGTGGTATAGAAATGAAATGAATAAATATTAAAACCCTAAACAAACCGGAACCAGTACATTTCAGAGCATATTTTGCCCTTACCAGCTGCTCAGTCACTGAGTCAGCTGAGGTGCTCATGGTTATGCATGGGGCTGAAGTCTGTAGTACACTCAGAGCTGTGAGTGTGCTGGTTTCCTCACCAGCACACTCATGCTAATTGATGTTTGGTAGGCAACAGAATTGCTTTGGTTTTGGCACCTACCAAACTCTTCTTGTCGCATCTCTTCTCTTCTGAATTACTAGCAAAGATTTTATTAGTGGTCAACTTGATCAGGAGAGTAGAACACATCCATCCAAGTCTTGCCTAGGTTCATTTTTGTATATCTAAACCTAACATTTTGTCTGAATGTAGTCATCTTGGTTACATTGACACTTGATAACATAAGTATTAAGTCAGAGCTTGGACACAATGGGTTTAATGAACTCTGGCTTAATGCAAGCAAGAAAAAAAGCAGTGTACAAATTATATCTGCTCAGCCCCAGTACATGCTCAGTCTATGCTTCATAAACCAGCCTACACTGAAGGCTTCAGGAGTGTTGAATGGTCATCCTTGCCAGTCCATAGTTTGAATGCAATCATTTTGTTAGATATAGCTATTGTTGCCTCCAGTAGTACTGAAACAAAGATGTCAGCCTGATAATTTGCGATAGTGGAATATATCTTTTCTTATAGTAAGGGTTCTATAGTCCCAGTAAACTTAGAATATATTGTTTTAATGCTTTATATAATTTCCTTTTTTCTTTGTTTTGTATCTTTACTTTACAGAATGATGATCTTAGATTAGTTACCAGAGAGAGAGATGAGCTGCAATCTATGCTAGATAAATTTGAAAAACACATGATAGAAATTCAGTCTAATGTCAAACTGTTAACGGCAGAAAGAGACAAATTAAATATTCTTTATGAACAGGTAAATAAATACTTGCCTTATCCAAATTAACACATGGGGTTACTGTCTGAGATCTGGAGAATCATGAACAAGAATTAAGTAATTTATAGTTATATAACTGTTCCAGAGCCAGAATTAGACATGGAAGTGATGATGTAAGGAGTAACTGCAAGAATAAAATGACTCATAATAGACTGCTGCTGGGGTAATGGCCTAGTCTGTGCCAAATGCACTATACGTTGGGTGGGAATGGCCTAAGTTTGGATAAGCATATTGGCAAAATAAGTAAATTACCAGGTCAAACTCTTCTAACATCTGGCAGAAATTCATTGTCCTTTTTTCTTTATTCTTCCCCTTACCTACTCACACTTTCTTCCCACACATGGTTTCATATTTTACTTAACAATCACTTCCAAAAATGTACTTTTAGTCTCAAGATGACTTAAATCGTTTACGGAAAGAAACAAAAACTTGTTTGCTCACTCAAAGTCATGCTGAAGAGGAGAGAAACATTGCATTGGCTGATTTCAGAAGGATAGTGGCAGAGAAAGAAGAACTGAGAGAGAAATTAAAGGTGAGCCATGTTTTCTGCAGCATTAAAGACTTCTGATGACTTTGGGCTAGTTTCTTATCTCACAAGTGGGGCCACTGCCATGGATGATGCAAGCAGGGCAGTTGTTGATTCTAGTAATAAAGATTCCAACTTTTAAAAAGTACATTTGGGAGTTTTACTAATGACAAAAGCATTGCTGAAGTAAATTCTGTTATTGTGGAAGTAAATATTTTGTCTGTTGGTTCAGCACAGGTGTTCAGAGTGGCTATTAAATAATGAAATTAAAGCACAAATAAATGCAGAAATATCATAAAATATTACATCCGTATGAGACTGTCTACATGGGAGAAGAAACTATTTAGTTTCGTTATAGTGGTCAAATCTTAGTTCTTCTTCATGGTCTCTGTTCATCACACTTATGGGTTCTGCACCTCTGTGGAGCCTGTTGCCATGAAGATTTAGGAGCTAAGAGTGTAAAAATCTTAGTTCCCTAGGCTTGGTCTGCATTGAAGGAAACACTGGAAACCCATTAGCTGTTTCTTTTTTTTGAGAGGTGCTAGATTCCAAATTAACACTGCATGAGAAACAGCAGTACTCTTACTGGGATTCTGGTTTCGTAATTTCGAAGAAACAGAAATTATGCACCCATCACAGATGGAACGTGATCCTGACATCCTAACTGGTAATGATGCCAAAATTCCCTTTGCATAGCAGACATACTGTCACCATTCTTATAAAAGGCCTTTACAGCGAATGCTCATTGCACACTACTCCACTGCTCCATTATTACTAATGGCAAGGGGTTCTAAATGAGGTCGCACTGGTTCCAAACAATTGGAATGCCCCAAGGTTCCTATTTCCCTGTGCTACCCTGTATTTTTAATGATAATCTCCTTAGTTTACATACTGTTTGAATTTTGTTTTTTATTTTGTTAGATTCATCAGAAAGAGGATGCTTTAGAAAAATCAAAGTTGGAACAGGAAATATCAGAGTTGGAAAGTACTATTCAAAGGGTAAGTGTTTTGGATACTTGCTAGCCATGCATGCTGATGGGTGTCATTAGTTTTTTCTGTACTGACTACTTAGATTGAGATTAGAACCAAGACTTAGATGTCATTTTTCGTGATCATTCGAGTCATGGGATTTGTGATAAGCAACATGTGAAACAGTAGCAATTCCTGTTCAGATTCTTGATGGTAGTTGTATTATTACAGGCTTGGATCGAAACAGTTTGCTCTTTAATTTTTATTATTTCTTAAGATTGCAACCCTAGTTTTGTAGGCTTTATTTGATTTCTTTGAGTGAATTATACTCAGCTTTTCTGCTTAAATTTCAAAAATACCTTCAAGTTAATATTCCTCAAGAAAATACTTAGCACATTCAGAAAATAATATTCATTTGTTGTTTGTGCTGTAGCTGGAAACAGAACAACTTGACCAGATAACTACTATATCATTACTGAAAGACAAAATAGTCTGCTTAGAAGATGAATTAAATGTCAAGTCTCATCAACTCTCCCAGTCATCTGAAGATACTTTACAATTTAAGACAGAAGTAAACTCACTTAAGTAAGTTCAGCAGTGTATTTAGTATCCTTTTAGCATTAAATACAAATCTGTAATTCACACCATCTTACATGAGATTTTTACATCACTTGACCAGCCCCTAAAAGAGAGGTGGGAGAACTATTTTTGCTGATAATCCTATCAGGCATAGTGCTTCTTAATCTCAAAAAGCAGCTAGACAACCTGGTTGCTCCATATTGAAAATAGTGGAAAACACATTATATATGTTCAGGTAGTTTATCTTTTATGTTCTAGGGCTCATCTGGTTATTTTAGTAGTCCTACCAAGTTATTGTACAAGTAACATAAAAATGATAAAGTCATAATAAACAGTATTACCATGTTTAAAAGTTAATCAGGATCCTTCCCAAAGGGCAGTTATTAAAAGAGGTGAGAAGAGACTAGCTGGAGCAGGCATCTGGTGTATTACCCTCATCTCATTCCCTCTTTTTCCTGAAATCCTGCCTGCAGAGCTGTTGATGATAGAGGACCTTATCTGGACTGGGGGAGCAAATTCAACTGGGACAGGCCCTTCAGTCTTCTATTTTAGGAGAAAAAAATCTGTGCTCCTTAAGCATATAGCATTCCGTGTCAGTATTATTGGCAATATAATTTTCTACCACAAATTTTAACAGGAAAATCAGCACAATTAGTAAGAAAGCTAAACTTTAAAACATGAGTTTAGCTTTGGAGATCAATCCTACAATAGGTAACTAGCTTTAAAAGGTACAGATACTGGCAGTCCCCAGGTTACCAGGTTGTAACTCAGGTTACAAATGAGTTCCACTCTGAGAAAAACAGAAATTTGTCTTTAAGTCAAATGATTATGTAAGTCGGATCACATGTAGTCACCCTCCACATTCGTTGGGGTTAAGGGCACAGGACCTACATGAAAGTAGAAAAACTGCAAATATCTCTAGCCTCTCCCCACTGCCCAAACTCACCAGTGCCTCCTCTTTGCAAGAAGGACATGCTGAAGGGATTCCCTCTCTGGATGGGCCAGGCAAGAAGGCCTGCTTTGGAGTCCTCCTCCTTCCCCCTTTCACTTCCTCCCTCTCTCCATGGTGATGATGATTTTTTGCAGTAATTTAAAAAAATTAATAGGCTTTATAAGCAGTTTGTTCATAAGCAGGAGTTATTCATAACTCAGATGTTCATAACTCGGAGACTACCTGTACTAATTACCTTTGTTCATTCTGTACTAGTCTAGCAACTATAGTCCTGCTAAAGTTAAACAGGAAACATTAATTTCTTTTACTGCATAATCATATATTTTGGTCTTTTTGGATTGTGTCAATCCTATTCTGACTTAATTGCACTTAAAAATCTGCATTTTGTGTTTTTCCCCCCAACTCCCATATGTATGTATTTATTCTGCAGATTGCTAAATGAACAAATACAGAAGTCATTAAATGAGGTTCAGCATCAGTTGTCCCTTAAGGAAGATCAAGTTCACTCTGCTCAAGAAAAGATTGCAATGTTGGAAGATAAAATGGGTAAATGCTGTTTTATTTCTTTTAAAAAAACGATTTGGACATTTAGAAGTTATGGGATACAGCTATTTCAGCTCACAAAGTCAGGATCATCTGCCTTTCCCTTTTCCAGTGTCTGTTAAAGGCCAATAGTTCATAGCTCTAGGATTGAACTTGGTACTCAGTTGCCATCCCTTCTTCCTCTCCAGTCTTGTTGAAGTGCTTACCAAGATTAGAGGACAAGTAAGAGGAGGGCAGTGCATGGGAGATGGAATTCTTTCTCATACATTTTTAAAAAAATGATTGCCCTGTCCTTTTGAGCCATTTCCATTTGATAAGAGGTTTGAGGGGACAAAGAGTTGTGAGAAGAAGCACACTCTGTTTCTCATGGAATCCTCTAATCTACACAAATAAATAAAATAGTACAGTACAGTGGGCTGCAGTTATAGATGGTTCAAACAAGCAAGCCAAACTAAGTTAACATTTTTTCATTTATTTTCAGATAAATTCAATAGTAAAAACTCCACACAAGATGAGACTATCAGTGTGCTCAGAAGTACTATTAATATCTTGGATAAGGAAAAGGACAGGCTTCAGGAATGTGTAGATGAAAAGACAGAAAGAATTGCATATCTAGATGACAATTTAGCCAATAAGGTATGTATACAAAGTATGAAATAGATTATATGAACCAATTTATAATAGATATATTAATTCATATTGCAGCATGAGCAGATAGTTCTTGAAACCATAGTACTGAAAGAGTGGATACCCAAAATGGTGGCGGAAATTAAATAGCTTGGTTCCAAAGGTTCTAAATATGTAGAAGTTACTACTGTATGAACAAAGTTCCCCTTGCCAAAATCTTGCAAATATCTCTCTCCCTCTGCAATCGGTCCCATTCCATGCTGTTTTAAGGGTTCCCCTGACCTGAAGAAAAGATTTTGGGGCACATGTAGATGCAGACAAGAGGAGGGACTTGGAAAGCTCTGTTCATTAGCAGAGTACCGTTCATATATCTTTGCATCCTGGCCAGTGCTTCTGAGGGTAGGATATGCATATTAATACAATATAACTAAACAAAGCTGAATAATGAATTCAAGAAAATGAATTGCTTTTACAATTGCCTAAAAACCTTATTAGAAAGTAAATAGTATGCTAAAAGCTAGAAAGACAAGGCAATGGATAGAAAATAAAATTGAAAATATTTTTGATATATGTAACTAAAGTTTTAGAGCACATTATAGCAGATTCACCAAAACACTAGTACAATCAGTAGAATTCACTAAAACACCAATAGAACTGTGCGTCCAGGGAAGGTAACTCACCCCTGATCTAAGTAGTGAATATGAATGTGATATGACACATTGGCAGAAAATAAAAATAGATGCCAGGAAGACCTGCAGCTGCAACAACACCTCAGCTTTTTTCTTTTCTCCTTTCCCAGTTTTCTGGCTTCCGGTAAAAGGTGGTTGAATGAAAAACATAGGTATATGAGCTCTAGATGCTTTCCTAGTGCCTTTTGAACACAAGGCTTCCTTTCCTATTCCAATAAATATATCAGATAGGGGCTTGGAGAAACACAAAACATACTGCAATATATGTGAAGAAGGGAAAAAGATTGGGCTTCAATTCTCCCTTTCCCCACCATACTATCAGAACCATTTGTGGCCAATATCATGGGGAAGTGTGAGCATAGGCTGCAAGGTTAGATGAGCTTATTCCCTGAGGAAGTATATGCGTGAAAGTGGAGCATGTATGATCATTTTTGTGAACATGTAACAATGGAAATTAGTGAAGAAACAGAGATTTTTGTCCACAAGAAAACTGGAGTGCAGAAAAAATCCCCCACAGTAGAAAAAATATATCTTAAGAATATCTAAGACTATTACTATCATGTATGTTTTAGCTGCCCCTAAAATTTGGAATTATCAGAGGGCAGAATTAAATGGGACATTTATGCCCCTGCTGAATTTTGACTGCTTCTGCAATGACAATTTAGCACTTCTGTTGCAACCTGAAATGAGTGGAAGAGCTTGTTTCTGGAAGGAGGCAGCTCAGCAGAGAGCATAAAAGGTAACTAGGCCAACATGCCTCCTTCGAGAAATGAGTCTTTTTACTCTCTAGGGACTCCCCTTAGAAGCACTAGATGTCCCTTATGTATGGGCAAATCTTGTGTGGAATTGGCAGGAACAACCACTTGCTGAACAGAAGGGCAGATAGGACTCAGTGGGATTGTAAGTACCCTGTTTCATTTGCCCAGAGATTGCTGGTGAAGACACCCCAAGGTTTGCGTGTGGGTTGTTATTAAACAGTGGATTGTCATGTTGTCTGCATTCGGTTGCAATAAGTAAACATGGTTTATTAACCATGAAAAAGCCACAGTTCACTAGTCAACAACAAACCATAGTTGTCTTCATGGTTAACAAACCATGGCTTGTCATTGCAGCAAGTTTCAAACAGCATGACAACTCACAGTTCAACAGCAGTGAGTATTCTGTTGGAGAGTACTGTTATTATCGCTGTATATTTGTTACAGTGGTCTTGAAACATCTGTAGTTGATTATTTCAGAGATACTTTGTCAGTCCTAGTAGTACTGCTTATGTTGTTCATTAATGTTGTTTTCAGACTTTGAATTACAGGAAAAGTAAAACAGCAACATATGTAATCATATCTCTTTCTATAGGAAAAAACTATTGTCACTTTGAGACAAACACTTACGCAATTGGAGTCATCCTTAGAGTAAGTAGTAGCAGAAATTACAAATTTTGGTTGTTACTGTGGTCAAGATAGAGTCTTTATATGTGCACTAGCATTGCAGAAAAAGGTGTTATGAGGAAAAAATATTTGACAGTTTAGAAAACACTAAATTAGGCAATTATGTTACCTAACTGAGCAATTTCTAATGCATATTGTAACAGCAACCCTGTGTACATTTTGCAAGAGAATAATTCTCCCTGAAATGGAGTATGTTGTGAGTAAAAATTTCCAAGAGTGGATTCTATATTTCTTATAGGAGGCAGGTAATTTGAAATCTCTTAGTTATACAGCTTTAGTTTTGCAACTCCTAGTATTCCCCAAACAGTGCAAGTAGCTAGGGGTGGTTAACACAAGTGCACAGTGCTTAACACAAGTTATAACAATTGTTGAACACAGCCAGTGCTGCCAACCATGGCAATGTAAGACGTTCAAGTGTACTGCACAGATTGGCTTGTCAATAAACAGTGAGAAATCCCTGTTCACTACAAAGATAGAATTATACTTGTTCATATAATTATACATGTTGGTATAATGCTATCAAAGCCTGTTGGTAATATTTAAAATGTGATAAGCACCATTCAGTGCAAAACTAAACACATGAATCAATTGATCTTAATTACAGAATGTGGTCATTATTTAGAATTATATACCATAATGCAAAAAGATAAATTCTGTTTAAGGTTTTCCAAATCCCCCATTTGCTAGCCAATTAAAGGATGCCTTGAGTGGTAAAGATCGTGAACTAGCCAGTTTCCGTCGCCAGCTAGATGCAATACACTCTGAGCTTGGAGAAACCAGCAGGGTGAAAGAAATTGCTCTGAAAGAAAACAGAAGATTACAGGATGATCTGACCACAATGGCAAGAGAAAACCAGGTGATGATAATATAGAATGATACACACCATAATTTTCATACTGCTGAAACTGAATAAGCATACTTAAAGTGACACTGAAGAGCCTTTACATTTTAAGAGCATGCATAGTTTTGTCTGACCTGTGTATTAGATTGTTCATATTCTTTGCAAACATATTCAGTTGCCATGAAAATGGTAATGTGGTACCACTGCTGCTACCAAGTATTTATTCACATATCAAGCTTGTTCTCAAGTGTGTCTGCTCTTAGGTTTCTTAAATTGTGTTGACTATAGAATTATCTTTTTTCAAATGTTTGACTTCAATTGCTGTGTCAGTAGAGAATGCACAGAATTTCATAAAAACAGTCACAATAACCTAGTAAATTATATTGTGTAAAATGACAAGTCTACATGTACATTATTCTAATACTGTCTACAGTCATCGGATAGGAAGAAGCCTTGTAAATCTAGATGAACATTTTGAGTTTTTATAAATCATCTCTCTACTTTTCTGTTTAAGTAACTTTTGCAGTTGCATTAGAACTCAGAACCAATTGCTTTTTCCATTACATAGCAAAAGACTAATGAATATTCCTACCAAATTTGGGTTTTGCCGCTTTAGACATTCAGTTGCAAAAATGTATGAAATGTTAAAATAGCTGTTGAGTAAATGTACAAAGAGAAAAGTTAAAGTATGTACTATTGGCCTAGTGCCCCTTAAGGTAGACAACCAGTGTCTTCGCTGAACACCTGTAGATATAAAATACTTGTATCAGAAATCAGGAGTAGCCATTTCCCTGACATCTAAATCTCTGCAGGGTGGTTTTTGGTTTTTGTTATGCTGAAATACTTGGGCATGTGAGCATGCACCTGAGGTTATCCAGCCCAGACATAGGTGAGCTAGGCCTCTTATATTTGTATATATTATGCTACCTAACACTATGTGTAATCTAAACAGGCAATCTCAACTGAATTGGAAATAGCTTTACGTGAAAAAGAAGACATGAAAATTAGAGTGCATAATTACATAACGGAAGTCTCCAGGTTTGAAAGTTTAATGGCCTCAAAGGTGAGGAAATACAAACTAATATGAATACTTTATGAAACAAATGTACCATGTTTTAATTTCATAAATAGAGTCGTGTATACTCGGCACTACATTAACTGAAATTCTGCATAAAACTGAAACCTGTGTAAACTATGGGATTCATGCAAGAGTATACTCATTTTCTTCAATTCTTTGGCTATCCAGTGGGAGGGACAAATACTTACATTGGGCACTGAAGCCAGACATTCCTAAATTATTTGGCATACTGATAAGTTCCTCTGGCCTCTGAAATTCAGCAGGTGTTGCCCACATATTTTATAAATCAAACTTCAAAACCTGAGAGATGATAAAAACTGGTTTGTTTGTTTTTTAAATTAAACTGATTGAGCATGATCCAGTACAGTCTTAGTATACAAGTGGAGTGCTGCAGAGGTAAGAAAGGCTGCCAGAAAGGAGGTTAAGGTGTATTGATGGAAAACAATTTCAGTTCTGAATAGAGCTTTTAATGTAGAAGCAACTTCCAGGTACTTCCTAGACAGAAAGCACAGGGGCATTTTCAGTAGCACAGCCCATTTATTAAGCACTGATCTAGCCAATACCATCCTGTTTCCTTTCAGAGATGAGATACATCATTATGGTTACAGATGAGAACATGGAATGTAGCCTTGTGAGTGTAGGTGTCATATAAATGGTTGGATTATGCCCATCTTCAGGACTCCAAATTCTAAAGCCAATCTCTAATTCTGCATACATTTCACTGTTGGACAATACAATGTCTTTCATGTAACATGCAGATCATGGATTTATTTAATTTGCTTGTGGAATCTATTTACAATTTTAAATCATATTTTTCCCCAACTATTTCAAGCTTGTTATTTGTTACTGCATGAACTGTCACCATCAGTGTTTTTCCTGATCAGGACAGAGGCTTTATAACTAAAGTCTATTTACTTATTAGCATTCTATCCTACTTTTTTCCTTTGCTGACAGAAAATTCATCCTGAACTGAATGCCTCCACTTTCTTCTAAATCACTTCACCTTGGTTTACCCTTTGGGGTAGGTCCTGCCACTCATGGACCAGTGTATGTGAATGGTACAGATACACATGTTGAAAGAGCTTTATTTTACCCTACTTAGCTCTTTATGTTAGTCTGCTGTATTGATTTTTAAAGAATCACTGACTAGCTCACATGACATGTTAAGTCACCCTCAAGCAGCATTTAAACCACTTCAACTAGCCATGGTTTGTACTGAGGTTTAAGAAACCTGTATTGTTATTACCAGTGCTGCTTTACATCCCACCCTTTTTCCCTCTTGTGAGGAACCCAAGGTAGCATACATAGATCCATACCATTCTCACACCAAACCTTTGAGGTAGGTTAGGTTGAGGGAAAGTGACTGGTCCAAAGTCAGCTAGTGAGCTTCATTGCTGAGTAAGGACTAGAATCCAAATCTATCCTGTCCCCAGTCCAGCACTCTATTGGCAAAGAAGGGTTGTTGACCTAGCCACAGGACTCTAGGTGATGACAGTCAACACAGTGCCCAAGTGGCATGAGCTGTTTGGTGCTCAGAATTACCTCTTCTTCCCCAAGTCATGCAGGGCAATCATTTTGACATTTCATTGGCCAGTGTGGGAGAAAAGAAGTGTTTCCTTCTTCATATTTCCACCCCATCTGCAGTGCTGCATAGGGCCAGCAGTAGTGCCTATGATGCCTGTCCTCACCTGCCTTTCCAAGGCCCACTCAGGGCTTGGAAAAGTGCATGTGGCAGACACTGGTTTACTGAACTGCTCCTGGCTGGTGTGCTGCCTGCAGGCACTATGTCAACTGCAAGCAGGAGTGGCTCATTTAGCCATGCTGTTTCCTGGGGGGACCTAGCTAAATGTGCTCCCCCCACCCCTGCTGGCCACCCCATACACAGAGTCACTATTATGCCGGCAGCTGTGGGGTGGGAGTTAGCTGGGTGGAAACCCAGTCAAAGGTACTGTCCTTGTTTGTTGTGGTGTGCATGGGTCTTGCAGCCATGAAAAGTGTAGGGTAGGTCCGAGGGAAGTTTTTTCTAACCATTATCACTGTGCATGACATTGACACACAGAAGGATGTGCCCTCCCAGCTCTGCTTAGGAAGCTGCTTACCACTGTTTAGTTGCTTCCACACTGGTGCTGATCAGTGGAGTGGCACTGCTGCTGAGTATTGGGAAGGGCAGCCTTACATTTGGAAGCCTAGAATGAGGCAACTTATGTTACCTTTTTTCCAGATTCCCCACCCTACACCCCTGCTGATACTGGAAGACTGGGATTGATTATGAGCAAGCCTGCTCTGTCAGCATCAGCAGGAGCATGAGACTGGAAAGCATATGACAACTGCCAAAAATGCCCTGTTTTGTGAGCCTTCATCACTGTTTCCTTCAGTATTCCCATGCTGTCACCTAGGATACTGCTGAGAGAACTGATGGGGAAGAAAGAGAAGTATCGCCTCAGGACCTGTCTGTGTCCAGTTGTTAGTTGGGCACAGCTAGGGACCCCAAGCCCAGGGTGGCTGATTTAAAACTTTGTCCAAACCTGCCCATTGTGTACAATAATTAGTATTTTTGTGAGTTAATTAAAATAACTTCTGCTTTAAATGTTTTGAAATCTCAACTCAGGGACTCAACCTGAGTATAAGAAAGGTGGAGGTACATTCATCTATTTTGATTTTTTGTGTCAGTGTTTGGTTTTTTTTAAAGGAGATGAGATGTGTATGGTGTGGAAAATGTGTGTAGTGAACTTGTTTACTTATTTGACTTGTAGTAATAAAAAGGGTCAAATGACTGGTGGATAGAAGATATTTGATACAGTGATTCATTGCTCAGTGCTTGGCTGTTTCAATTTGAATCAGGAAAGAGAAAACAAGGAGCTGTTAGAGAAGTTTCAGATGCTCCATAGCCAGGCTGAGGACTGGGAAGTAAAGGCCCATCAAGCTGAGGGACAAAGCAGTTCTGTACGACTGGAGCTCCTTTCTGTTGATACTGAGCGAAGACATCTTAGGGAGAGAGTGGAACTGCTGGAAAAAGAAATTCAAGAGGTAATTTATCAGTGATAGCTAAATTTTGCTGCCTGGTCCACTTAAATACTGTGCTTTTTTAATCTAATGCCTTGGCATAATTGGAGATTGCTACAAGGATCAAGTGATGTTAATTAATCATTAGTATGTGCACAAGGGAAAACTAATTTCAGATCTGTTTCCGTTCTTGCCCAGTTAATTCTTGCAAATGGTTGTAAGTGTATTTTGAAAAGAAAAAAATTATTCAAGTTACCGGGGATTTTCTTGTTTGTTTTTAAATAGATGAGTATGGGAAACTGAATTTGTTAGTCTGGTGAGAAGGATCTTTGCACGTATGCATGTATCAATAGAGTGGCTTTTGTCTTTTACTTAGCATATCATTGCACACCAAGCTTATGAATCACAGATCTCTTCAATGGCAAAAAATATGGCCAAACTGGAGGAAAGTCTCAGGCAAGAAAAAGAAGAAAAGTCTTCAGTCATTGTTGATGTTACTTCTGTTAGAGAAATGTGTGTTAAACTGGAATCTGGGAAAGACCTTCTCTCACGTCAGTTAACTTCCAAATCTCTGGAATTAGAAAGGGTAAGAGAGAAAGAACTTCATTCTTAATGCATCTAAATAAATTTTACATTTAAGTGAAATAATGGAACGTAATACCAATTATTTATTTATTTATTTATTTAGCAAGCTTCTATGCTGCCCCATTCACCGAAGCCTCGGGGCGGCTCACAACAATAAATACACATTAACCATATAAAACAATATAATTGGAGATGTTCTGGCCAAAGATATAAAATCAATAAATAATGTTAACAATTAAAATGATGTTTAAATAAAAAGGTCTTGGCCTGGTGCTGAAAAGCAAATAATGACGGCGCCAGGTGGACCTCTCTGGGGAGCGCATTCCATAGATTGGGCACCACCGCAGAGAAAGCCCTCCTCCGGGTACTTACCCCCCTAATGTCCTTCACGGAGGGTTCCTGGAGAACGGCCTCCCCCGCTGATCTCAAGGGGCGGGAGGGCACGTATGGATGTAAGCGCTCCTTTAGGTAACCAGGACCCAAGCTGTTGAGGGCTTTATAGGTAATAACCAACACCTTGAATTGGGCCCGGACTTCAATGGGAAGCCAGTGAAGCTGACGGAGAACTGGAGTCATGTGAACATAACGCCCAGTCCCGTCAGCAGCCTGGCAGCTCTATTTTGAACCAACTGAAGTACCCAGACAGTCTTCAAGGGCAGCCCCACGTAGAGCACGTTGTTAAATAGCAAAGGGGACAAAATGGATCTCTGTGGTACTCCATGTCATAACTGCCATGGCGCAGAGCCATAGTCCCCCAGCACCACCTTCTGGAATCAGCCATTGAGATAGGAGCGGAACTACTGCAAAGCAGTGCCTCCTACTCCCAATCCTGCTAGCCTATCCAGAAGGATACCATGGTCAATGGTATTGAACGCTATAGAGGTCCAGGAGAACGACGCACTCTCCCTGTCTCTCTTCCTGCACAGGTCATCATACAGGGCGACCAAGGCAGATTCAGTACCGTACCCGGGTCTGAAGCCGAACCGAAATGGGTCCAGATAATCATTTTCATCCAAGAGTGCTTGGAGTTGTCCTGCCACCACCTGCTCCAACACCTTGCCCAAAAACGGGCTATTGGCCACTGGTCTATAATTAATGGCCATCTCTGGATCCAGGGATGCCTTCTTCAGGACTGGCCGGACTACCGCCTCCTTTAAAGGGGCAGGTACCCAGCCATCCCTCAGAGAGGCGTAAACCACTTCCAAGATCCAGGTCCCTATCCCGTGTTTGGCGTTGTTAATTAGCCAAGATGGGCAAAAGTCCATTAGGCAGGTGGTGGGATGTACTTGTCCCAGCACCTTGTCCACATCATCAGGCCGCAGTAACTGAAACTCATCCATCAATTTTGGACCAGACTGCGACATTGGTATCTCCCCAGAAGCCTCTGGGTCACTAGTGGAGTCCAGCTCGTGACAAATCTGAGCAATTTTCTCCCTAAAATGCTTTGCAAAGTCAATATAAAAATTTAACGTAATACCCAACAGCTTGCATTCTAAGTTAAGTTTTCAAAAGGATTTTTCTTACAGAATATAACTTAAAGATAGAAAGTTTGTGAATAGGACTTCTATGGATAGAAAGCTTCCTGTTCACGCCTTCCCTCAAAAGCTAAGTGTGTTTCCTGGAAATCTTCCTTTAGGTTTGGATCCAAACCCAATTTTTGGCAGTCCTCCTCCTTCCATAGTAACCATTCACTTAAAATCCCATATCAAGGGATTGCGAGGAGTCAAATGAGACCCACAACTCTTTCTGTGAATGACCTCAAGTTCTTAAGTTTCAAGCCAATTATAGAATCACAATACTAGAGTTGGAAGGTAGCAGTAAGACCATTGTGTCCACACTCCACCCAGTCAATGCCAGACACCAAGCAAAAGCATCCCTAAACCATCCAAGTTAAAGCAATGTCCACCTGCATCTTGAATATGTCTGGCATGGGAGAACCTTAGGCCACTGGTTCCATTGTTGTACTGCGCTAATAGGAGGTTTTTCCTGATACTCAGTTGGAATATGGCTTCTTGTAACTTGAGTCCATTATTTCACATTATCTGCTCTTGTATCGATCAAGAATAGATCCTGGCTCTTCTGGGTGACAACCTTTCAAGCACTTGAAGAATGCTATTATATCTAGGTTCACTCTTCTCTTCTCAAGGCTAAACATGGCCAGTTCTTTCAGTCTTTCCTTGGCATCGCCTGTGCTGCTGTGCCTACCGCACAGTGGCACAGCTTCTGCTGCCCCCACTGCCTGTCACTGCAGTACCCCCCCCCCGCCCCCGCATGTCAAGTAGTGAGAACTCTGGTGCCGAGGAGAGGAAGAAAGGGGAGTAGTTGCATTTGTGGAGGTGGAGATGAGGTGGGGCCACTCTGGCTGCACCTTCATAATCAGCTGGCACACAGGTTGATGCCCTTAAGCAGCAGCCAAACATCATATGGAAATGTAAAATAATAATAATAGTATACATTAATATAGTGATAATAATAGGGCTTTGTTTCCAGTCACCTGATCATCTTTGTTACCCTGCTCAGAACCCTTTCCAGCATCTTAAACTGTTATGCCCAGAACTGGACATAGTACCCAAGATAATACCTAACCAGTTCTGAGTAGAGGGGAACTTGTACTTCATGTGATTTGAAAATGATACTTCTATTAATGCGGCCCAAAATAGCATTAGCCTTTTTTGCAGCCAAATCAAATTATTGACTCCTATGCTGCTTGTGATCTACAATAGTTCCAAGATCCTTCTTATGTGTAGTGTTGTTGAACCAGGTATCCCTCACCTTGTAGCTATGCATTTGATTTCTTTTTCTATAAATAAGACGTTTAATATGTAATACTTACTATGAGGCTGCTAATTGGAATGAATTATTTTTATGTTCCTAGATTATGTCAGAATTGGAAGAAGCAAAAGCAGAGGCAGAACTTTTAAAAAAGCAACTATCCAGTGAACGACTTACAATACAAAACCTGGAAACATTGTTGGCTACTAGCAGAGACAAAGATTTTCAGAATCATTTGATAACCCATGAGAAAGAATCAGAAATACAGCTACTCAAAGACAAGTTAACACTCTCAGAAAGTAAACTGTATGTTTTAAAGCATAAAACTACATTTTTAACATTTTGTTTCAGCTGTTGTTACTGAATGCAGATATGTCTAATTTCTTTTTAATAAAACTTCAATGTACAAGTCTTTTCACCTGATAAAATCCAGCATTTCTGTTTAGTGCATACTTACACATAAACATAGTGAGAAGCCGTTAAGCCTAATTTCTTTTGTCTGGAATCCTAGTTCTGCTAACCCTGCATCCAAAGCTCAAATACCTTGACTAACGTAACATGGAAGAAATGGGTGATTTCATATGTTCCTTTAATGGTAGTGATGAATTTGCTCCCTCTGCACAGTGCCATATGGGTCAGATAGTGTGGTGACAGAATATGTGAAGTTGCCTGCCAGCAGCAGTACTATACTAAATTTTCTCTTGATGATCAGGGTATTCAATCTCTTATAGCCATGTATTTTTTATCCATTTGGTAACATCATCATGCAACTGTGGATCAGTCAAAGAAGGCAGTGCAAAAGGGAAATATATATACTTGAACTGGACTAATCTCTTAAGCATTTTTTCTAGCTGTTAAGAAATAGTATCCACATTTTGCACAGCTGTACATATTTGCATATGAGTGCGTTAATTAATATGTATGCATATTGGTGCATAATTTCATGATTTTTGTTTATCTGCTTGTATTGCTTGTGGCTATTTTTAAAAGTTTCTGTAAGATGCCCTCTGTAAATGTGCAATTGTTAAGACCTTTCTTTGTTCTACTATTTTTAGCACAAGTCTTAATAGAGAAGTTTCTATACTCCGAAATAAACTTGCACAGCTGCAGGCTGATTATGATATTGTAAAAAGACAGCTGACAACAGAACGATTTGAACGGTAAGTGAATATGCTTTATAGAAATACCATTATCTGTATTCCTGTATCTAAGAGGAAAACTACAAATAGACTTGCAATATTTGTTGATAAAACTATATACAGTTGATTGCAAATGATTCAGGATAACTTTCCCTGCATGCCTTCTTTTCCAGCGCAGTTGGACAGAACAGCTAGAGAACAGTGCAGTGGGTAGAGTCATCCACACATGCCTCTTTGCTCAGTATACTCAGGCTCCTGACAGGTCATTGACCATTTGGCAGGCTGCTAAAAGCCTGATCATGTAGGGTATGCAGGGATTAAGTTTATCATATAGGCATAGTGGTCAGCTTGCTTTAATGTTTGAGAAAATGTGTGGAAATACTCCCAAATTCCAATTCTGATTTTTACATGACAGGGAACGTGCCATTCAGGAGATGCGACGGCATGGCCTCTCTACAACTTCTCTACATGCCTCATCTCCACTTAGCTCAACATTGAGATCTCCTTCCCATTCTCCAGAGAGAGCACTTACAGAACGGACAGACAAGTACGTAATTAAATAGATTAGGTTTTGGGGATTTTTTTTTTTTTTTGCATTTTACTAGTTTGCTAGTTTACTAATATTTTCAAAATTGAAATGTCAGAATGGTTTTGCACTTGGCATTTTCCTAGGAGATTGTAGAAGAATATATTAAGAGGCTTTCTCTGCATCCTCTTTACCATTCTGACTTGGGGAATGGTAGCTGAGGTATTCATCCTATGCCCTCTGACTACAGTGCCTGGGAGTACTCTACCTATTGGATGTAGAGAGTTGTGCTGGTTTTTATGAAACTTGTATAGTTAAAATTAATGCCCAGTACATATTAGGAAGAATACTATTTACTATAGTGTGGTCTATAGAATCTGAAGAAAATAATTCTGTATTATCATGTCTTAAATGGACATTCCGTCAGTGTAATTATTTTTTTTTTCCTTCTCAGAAATGTGGGCTTCAAGGATTAATCAGTTACTTTAACAGCAGAACAATAATGGAAGGTTTAACATGTTTGGACTTGTTGTCAACGTTGACACGAATTCTACCTCTAAAATATTGTTAAATCATTAACACCATAGAAAACTGAAGCAACAGAATCTTGTAGGAATGTTTAATGCGTGATCAATCCTTGCTACATTTTGTTACTGCAGTTCAACTGAGATATTTCCTCTTAGCTATGCTGAAGGGCATTGTAGATTAGGACCAAATTTTCAGTTGGAGTAAGTGGTGTGGATTGTTAACTTCATTTTGATATTTATGCTTATTCAAGTTTGCTTAAATCAGACATGGAGTTGCAAGCTGCTACTGCTGTTTAGTCAAAACAGGTAAAGATGGGAAGTATCTCTGTTTTGCGGAGGACTAGCAGAGGCTTAGTGGTATTATACGATGCTACCCTTTGTTTATACTCTGCTAATCTGATATGATTTATATATAATAAGTTATTGTTCATCTTAACCTGACTTTGCTCAATAACCATAACAAAGATGTCAAACAGTGACCAGGATATATTAGTAATTTTATCTTTTTAATGAATGCTTGATCTAATCTTCAGAACTGAGCCTATATTCTAAAAATCAGTTTGAATTTTTAAAAAGAAAATTATGTGTACTAAATGATCATGTTAGTATTAAATAATGCAATGTATTTGTTTGTCTTAAAGAGAGTTGGCAACATAATTTATTTTTTTTTAAAGTTCAGAAATAAAGTTTGAAGAGATGGCACAGCTGAGCTCCAGCTTTTAAGGGCATAAAACAAGGGAGGTTAGATAGAAAAATTATTAGGTAAGTAAGCAAGTAAGAATCTTATTTCAAGAAGACTGATCATCTTGAAGTTCTTGTCATAATAATGTCACAATAGCAGGTTCAAGCATACATTCCACAATAGAGTCTACACTACTAATTCCACCTTGGATCTATCATCAATCAGCAATCTTTCCCTGGAAGAGAAGTATGTTAAAATACAGAGCTGCTTCTCTGTACTAGTTGCCCATTTTTTGTTTCTGCGTGTTTTAAAGGAGATGGATTTGTCTTTGGAAGGATATCTCTGGATTGAATGTTCAAAGACTTCCATGTGCATACTAAAAGCCATCTGTGTATCAGAATGTACATGAAATGCTAGATTAGTGTGTATATCTGGAATAATTATATTTCTGCTATACTAATGTTTCTAAAATATTAATGCTTAATATCCTTCTGCTGTAACATATGTTCTTGTTGATATAACAGAGTATGACAATGGGAAGAGACTATTGTTCCTTATGACTAGATCAGGAAACTTCAGTTTTCAAAGCACTGCAGACTGATGTGCAATTATGAAGAAGAGTTATATTTTTCAATTTCCCTTATAGACATGTGTAAGAAGAACAGAAATGGCATGCAACAGAGAAGGGGGACCCAAATCCTAGATCTGACTATGCCTAGACTATTGCTGAGAAAACTGTTAAAACATACTGTAATAAATAAAAAAATATATTCCTAGAATAATGGTGTGAGCAGAAGAATCTTACTTAATTTAAATATAAGGATTACCATTTAGTACTTCTTTAAAGGTATTGACATGATATATTTTTATACCTTCTGCATCATTTAGAATGAATGTGGCAACAGAAAAGAGAAAATAAATTATAAACAGGTTTTTTTTTTCAATAAAGTTGTCGTCATCACTGTTTCATGTGTTACAGCAGAACCACAAGTTACTCTTTTGGATATTGAAAAGGACCTTGCAAATCGGCATAATAACTTAGTGCAAGCTCTGTTGATTTTAGTGTTAGAGATTCAGGGCAATAGTAAACATGTCAAGTTTATAATTAACACTTTTACATAAATGCTGAATAAAAGAACAAATCTCTTGAAGAAATTAGGAAACTTTTAAAGAAAAGTAAGCTTAAAACTTTCCTAAATAAGAGTGCTTTCAGATAAGACTCTTATTGCACCATAACCCTGAAATGCACCTCATTCGTTGAATTTTATAAGGGGGGTTTCATACACTGTCTTCTATGCATAGCTCTTTGTTCTCCTACTGAAAGTCTGTTTAAAAAAAACAAAAGCCAAAATAGCTACCGAACTGTGGCATGATATCTTCTGTTTGATAGCCCTGCAACCTAAAAGTATCCAAATTCAGCTGTAATGAAACCATCACTTCCAGCTATGTGCACAAGATGCAATGAAGCTCAGGCTCATTTTTCCTTTTTTAATGGCTCCAAAAAGGAAATTGGAAGACTCGATTTTAAACTTGATTTAACCATTTCGTCCAAACTCATGAAACTGAACTATGGTTTATGATCTTGGTTTGTCCTTTAACTAGAGTTTAAAAGAACCTCAAATCTCATGGTCATAGAGTAGGAGTTGGGAGGATGAGTAGCACAGAAGCCCATTGGAGGAAACCATGGTTTCCAGTTGCATTTCATTGTGAATTTCACTAGTGAAAAACAAATTTTCTTCCATATACTACTTTGTGATTGTGAAACTCCAGTCCTCCAAACCCAAATTAAAGAGAAGTACCCTGCAACTAGAAAAAAGTTGTTCATTCTTTTTTGCTACACAACCTAGCACAACTTAAGCGTGTCCATTTATATAAACAGTCTTCAGTTTGCACATCTCTACTTGGAACAGAAACTGCACACGGAAATGTGCAATGGGTATGGATCCTTTCACTGTGAAACCCAGTTCTCTGCAGTCCCCCCACCCTGATTCTCCTGAATTGTACAGGGGTCCTGTTGCTGCTGGATTGCTATGGAAGTAGTTCCCTGTTGATAGGAAGTTTACACTGAGCAGGGGCACATTTGATTAATGAGAGGAACTGGAATCTGCTTGGACTTTGGCTGACTGAGGATAGTTAAAACATATTCAGAGTTCTAACGGAGATGCTTATGTTTGTGGTCGGTTACACCAGATTTTTTGCCTAGGTACCTGAGTTCTACTTCTCTTGTATTTGCATCATCTGTTTCTGAGGTAAACCATATGGCAGCTAATATGAAGAGGCATTGCTAGGTTCTATGAACTGTATCATGAAAGCTAGAACAATAAATCTTTTACCTTACCTTGCTTATGTCCTTATTGCTAACAAGTTGTAGAACAACTAAATAGTCCATACAATGCTCAGTCTGCATGAGAATGCCTCACCACTACTGATAGGAAAATGGTCAGCTACAGTTGATTACTATAATATCAGAACATTAGAGATACTCTGCAGCTGGTACAAAAATAGGTGTTTAGTGGGAGAAGGTGTTTAGTTTTACTGAAACCATGGCATGGGCTATGTTTTCCTTTGAAGTTTGATGTAACTATCATGACTCAATAGTAATTGATTGCTATCCTCTCCATAAATTTGACTGCCCTTTTTGATAGCTTCACAATAAATATGATTACTGTGACTCCTGCCTGCCATTGTGTTAAACGTCTAGCCTTATTCCGCTTTAGAATTCTTGCAGAATTCTGGTAGTTGTGTAGAGCACAGATGCTGAAACCTTTATCAGAAACAGACAACACATCTACTGGCGAAACTAGAGGCACTGCAGACCCCAGTAGGCTTTAGCAGATACAGTGACAGCCCAGTGAGCATTCATGGGTTTGGTAGCAACGTCCCGTGCAATCCCATTCTGTTTACTAAAGTGTATATGGGTGGGGCTAGCTTTTATTTATTTATTTAGGGAACTTCTATGCCGCCCCATTCACCGAAGCCTCGGGGCAGCTCACAAACATAAATAAATAACATCCTATAAAACAATATAATTTAACAGTATAAATTAAGTCGCCCTGGCCAAAGAATAAAATAAATAATATGAACAATTAAATTAACGTTTGAATAAAAAGGTTTTTGCCTGGTGCCAAAAAACAAATAACGACAGTGCCAGGCAGACCTCTCTGGGTCTTTTGCCTTCCAAAAACGTGACTATATTAAGCCAAGCAATGTGATCACTGTGGCATGAATTGACACAGGAAAATATATGTATATTTGAAAAATAAGACATGATTATTACCTACCTGTACCTTAACATCGTCTTTGGAAGTCCTCCAGGAGCCACCTTTAAAAGACGTGAAGAAGGTGGCTACTCAGGAAAGGCCCGTTTTGGTAGTGGTACCTCATTTATGGAATTCACTTCCCAGAGAAGTATGCCTGGCACCAACACTGTACAACCTTGCAGCTCCAGGCAAAAACTTTTGTTTTCACTCAGCATTTTAATCTCTACAAAGCAGGTCTTTGTTTTACTTTTGTCCTGGTTCTTTTTTGTATTTGTTTTTATTGGGATCTTGTACTCACCAGTTTGTTTAATTATGCTGTAAGCTGTTTTATTTAGTTTTACCTATTTTATTGATTGTTACTCTGTTTAAATATATTATGTTTGGATTTTATTGAGTGTAAACCATTCAGAGTGCGAACATGGCTGAGTGAACAGTATACATTTTTAACAAATAAATAAAAATATAGAAGTGATACAGAGTTATCACTTAAGTCAGAAGATAACAAGGACCAATCCTGCAACATTCACCTCAAGAAATAATAGCTGTGTGAGAGGATTGTATACTTCCTGCCCAAATTTTGTATAATCTTTCTATTGCATTCACATATACAGCAAATTTGAAACTAACTAGGAAATAACAATTTTTTTCTAGACTTTTATATGTATAATACAAGATTTCTGTCTATCCCACATGACTTACTGATGCTCATGTTGACAAGCTGTTATTCCAAACAGAAGTTGGGTCTGGCAAGTAGTAATTTGTGGTATGGATTGTGATTCTGCAATTGGGCAGAACTTTCTTTTCTATCATCTTAAATTCATTTTCTAGTGACCATCACAAAGTGACAAATTTGAGTTTTGTTCCATTTCATAGCCCCATTCCCACCCCTTCTGCAGAGCTCCATTGCTTACCAAGACTTGGTCATATTTTAATGAGCTATGAATTCTGGTGGTAGTCATAGCTCAAAGACCAAACAGTTTTGAGCAAATTTTGCTCCCATCACTCGTACCATTATAAAAACAAATCACTCAACAAAAATCTAAGATGGTTATATGGATTGATTGCACCAAAATATCTGGTGGCATGAATAGTCTGTATGTGAAAGATAATTTCCAAATAAAAAGATTTGGGGATGAGTGTCAAGTTAAACTTAATTTCAGCAGAATATGAATTTTAGTTTTTGATGCTGTGGTTCATACTGAACAGTCCCTATCAGCTGCAGTTTGGTGGCTAGTCATCTAAGAGTTGTATCCAATGTTAGTCCAACTTAGTGTTAGACCCACTAAAATGAATGTGATTTAATCAGACACTAAAAGATGCTTATTTTCATTCTGGGTGGAAAACGTTACCCAGATCTGTTAGAATTATATAATGTTCTTTGTTTTAGAAGTCCCTCTTGAACCCCTTAGAAGTGGCATTGTGATTATATGAGATTCTTCCTTTAACACAAGCCAGTCTAATAACACTAAAGTTATTAGAAAGCTCTTTCTTGGCAGGATCTGCTAGGTGAAGCTAAAAAGGAAATGTTGGGGAGGATCCTGGTGGTGGTGGTGGTGGTATTATAATCATCACCATTATCTGGTAGGTCAATCGTCCTTCGACCCAAACGAAGCTGTTCCCTCCCTTGTCAACCTGAGGTTGTCGGGTTGCAGGGAGAGAGAGCGAACATGTGATCGCCTGAATTGAATTTGCTTGCTCTTTCCTTTGCCATGGTGTGGCAGCAGCGCGGAGAGCAATGGAGGCTGCTTGAGAGACGGGGCTGGGCTGCCGCCGCTGCTTGCTGGATCCATTGCAAAAGGAAAAGCCCAACCAAATTTCCTGTCGCCAAATCAAGGCTAGGACCAAGGTAGGACTGTCATGTTCCAAGATTTTCTTTTGTCTTCTTTCTTAGAGGTGCTTTTTTTTTTTTTTTTTTAATAAAGGGAATGATCAAGAGCAGAAGTTCGATTTGCAATCCCTTGTGTTTTGACCTTGTCAATTTCAGGCTTTAACACCTTTGTGCCACTTAACCTCCTGCAATGCATTTCTTGTCTTTCATGGAGAGCTTCATTTTGTCTATTGTTAGCCTGAAGGCTGGTGTTTCCTTGGGTGCTGTGTTGGCATGAAAGGCTGCCTTTGCTTACTGTCAGTCAACCTAGGGGATGTGTCAGTTTTCTGAAAAGATGGTATTCCTTGAGCATCTGCGAAAGGCAGCTGCTGTGATGAAGACAGGGCGGTGGTGAACTACAATCATATTGGCAGCTCTCCTAAAATGTTAAATAAAAACAACCTTGGCTGTATTTTCATGGCATATCTTTTTCCCAAGTGTGTACATGCACATGTTTAATTTTGTTCTGTATTTTTTCATTCATTTGATTAGCATTTTCTTTCACTTTAGCATTCATTTTCTTAAAGGCAGAGATAAAGGGATGACTTTTGTTGCTTCCTGTACCCCCCTCCCCATCCACCTCCAACCCCATCTCCAGTACTGCATTGCTTTGTCTAACCTTCTCTAATGCCATTTATCACAGAACTCGGTCACCATATTTTAATGAGCTCTGAAATATGCTAGTTGTCATGGTTGAAAGACAGATGCTATAGTTTTCTGTGCACTTTCCCTTTGCCACTGCCACCCCCACCCCCACTCTGGACTAAATCAAGTGTACTAAAGGTTACATGACCAAGAATGGGGAATCAGTTTCCATTTAAGCTTCTCATTCATGGGTTGGGTTGGGTTGGTTTTTAAATTTGTCATAGGTAGGCTTGTTCTCCCCTCCCCTTTAATTTATAGGTTAATTTTTTTTACTTCCCTCCCCACAATAGCTGGGATACAAATGCTACTGTTTCAAAAGGCAGATTATTAGAGAGGAATATGATAATTACAAAACAGCATGAATTTATAGAATTATTCTGCAAATACTTTGGAATTTAGAAAAGATCTGCCTTATATGATCATCTTTTCAGTAGGTTACAGGAAAACTAGAAGCCACAACTGTACATGTTGAAATTTTAATATGGTTAACAATAGTGCTGCTGAAACTGAGCTGCTAGGGGAGGAGAAGAGGTTAGTAGAGTGAAAGGAAAGTGCCCATTACAAATACAACAATGTGTATTTCAAAGCCAAATTTTAAATGGGATTTCCCCACTCTTTTCAAAATTTGTACATGTGTGATATTTGTAAGGGTGTATTTTAGCACTCAAGTACT